CCTTGTTACGTCAGATTCTCCAGAATCTGCAGTTCCTGCTATCTCTGAAACACCATTCCTCATACTGGCTGTTTTTAACTCTAATTTTGAACATAGCTCATCGAGCTGATACAGTGTGAATGGCTGTGGTGCCATCAGGAATGGAACTCTCAGGGTGGGAGTTCAATATGTGGCAATGGTCTGTAAGGGACAGGAACAGGAGCAGATGTTAAACCTGCCAAACCTCTTTCATTATTCCATGTTATCTAGAGCTTCATCTCCACTTTGCTGTCTGTTCCCCATAGTCCTTTATATGCAGAGATATCCCAGCCTTGAATATGTTCAATGATGGAGCAACAACAACCATCTGGTGTAGAGAATACAAATGATACAAATTCTTCAAGTGAAGAAATTTCTCCTTATTTCAGTACTATTTTGGATCTTGACAGAGGGATGGTTTTGCTAATTTTGGTAGGAGATAGAGGAAGAGATGATTGAAGAACAGGAATAACATTTCGACAGTGCAAAATCTGTTACATGCAGTAATTGGTATGATAGTCCTGTAAAATTATGAAGTCCTGTCAAACCATCTGCAGAAAGTTATTGGCTTCTGGTTTTCATAGATGAAAGAAAGATGAAAATAATTGCTGGTAACAGTAAACAAAGTTTTTGTCTTCAATCAATAGTATTTCATTTACTAATTATTGAGAAGATTCGTACACTATATTGAATTTTTTTTTTTTTTTTATTTTTACCTAACTTTTCCTTGAACAGCCTCCTTCCATTCAGACAAGCCTAATAGGACGCCAGCCAGCGGATCCCCCTGTGAGTAGGGTAGCTAATGCCCGATTTTTAGTTCTGATGGATGAAAAGACATCAGTCTTTCTGTTAAAGGGGCTCTTGCAATTTAATAAGGATTAATGGTTGTTTGTTTAATGATGATCAAAAACTCAACAATAATGTAAAGGACTTTTTTTTTAATTGAGCTATTTATCACTGGTTATTATCATTTATGTATTTCTGTTATTTGGTTTTAGGATGCACTGGACCTCGCTGTGAGTGAGGCCTGTGTGGGACAATTCTTGGGGAAGTTGCAGTGATAGTAATGATTGTATGCCCATGATCAACTCCCTCTGCTGTGCCACAATGGTATTTTCTGCTGTACACCAGTGGTTTTCAAACTTCCTGGCCAATGTTCAGAATTACACAATACTGCAAACCTCAAACAAACCACAAGGGTTATTAAATCTGTGCCTGTGATATTAGTGCATATGATCACCATCTTGAACCTCTTTTTCCTGCTTACTCTTAATGCTCCATTAGTTTTCTTGCTTTCAAACATCTGCCTAATACCTTGTTTGCCTAAAGATATTTAGGTGGTGGAGTAGTCCTGGGCTGTGTATCAAAATTTGAGTTTGAAGAATGCAATACATGCTTTTCCCTGCACAGTATGTCAATAATTGCATCTATCCTGGGTACTGTCACTGATCATAACACAGACTGGCATCCAGCTCAGTCCTTATGAAATCACTGATTTGCAAAAGGCAGTGACCACCCAGTTTTGAATAACAGTGGTCTACCCACCCCATACTTATCATTCTATTGTAACTCATTGTTCAAGTATTTACTTTTTCTATTATCTACTAAGTTTATTGAATTGGACTTTTGTATTTCACTAGTGGAACTAAATTTCTAGCATTATCACTGCAATAGTTGGAAAATGATCTGTTATTTATGTTAAAACAATACCACTGTGTTGTAGTAATAACCAAAGCTAAGCACTGGACTTTAACCTGGTGTAATCATGATAGACCTTGTACCTACATGTGTGGGTGATCAAGGTGTTTAGTCTGAAATAGTCACATGTACTTTCTATGACTCATGCAGAATCTTTACGTGTAGTGAATTGCCCCAAGAGTTAATGAATGCTGAGAAGCAATAGGGAGAAGATACCAAAGGCTTTATTGAAAACATTTGTATACTTTTGAAAGTAGCCAGGTTAGGAGTTAAGGAAAAGAATTATGTCTTGATCTCTGAAGTTGTATCTGCAAGATGCAGAAGAAAATGAGGAGAGAGTGTTCAGCAGGTGAGAGCCTGAGGAGCAGATGCAAACTGCATTTAGACCAAGTGGAGGTTTCGGAGATAGGTGATGAAGATTCACAAACTGGTAAAGTTGGATGAGGATTTCAAAAGTCAACTGTTGGATAAAATGGAGCCAGGACAAGAGGTTAAAAAAGTATGATAAATGAGTAGGATGTGGTGCAGGTTTGGATGGACTGTGGATATTTTGGAGCAAATTAAGGGCACATTAGAGAGCGGGCATAAAGATGATGAAACCCTCATGGAAGCTGATGAGGAGGAGATAAAGATGAAGGTAGCTTGTGATGTATCAAGTTGCAGAGAAGCTAGACTGGCCTTATATTTGACCACTTCACCTGTCCAAGTACATTTAATATGGTGATCTAGTAGAATGTCACTGAATGGTTTGAATTAGATTGGTTAGTAAAAGTTTCAGAATTCATGTCATGACAGGCACTGGCTTCTGTCATAATGCAGCCAACAAATTGCCTGTCAGATATCCATGTAGCTCAATTTTGTTGAATATAGTTTCTTGTGCAGTTTTGACAGTTTCAAACAAGTTGCTTCATTTAATTGCATGACATTACACATTTTAATTTAACTTTTTGACAAGTTTAGGAAGCCTCTACTTCCCCATTTTTATTTCTGCTTTTCACTCTTCATGTTTAATGTTAGCTTCATGATTTCCCTTCTCTGATCATGACATTTGATCCCAACTTTTACAAGACTACTGTTCCCCACCCATTGCTGAGATTAGGAAATCAATGCGGTGAGCAGAATGAATCTGTGTCTCTCTTTCAAGGGTTTATAGGTGTTAGAGATGGTTTCACATTCAAATCTTGGTGTGTGATCTGTTGCCTTTCTCACCTGAACCTTTAAATTTGTCTCAGTGCTCCTGGGTTATGTGGAAAACATTAGTCAGTCTTCACAGCTGACTGTTATCCATTGATGAAATGTGGATCGTTGTGAGTTGATTGTTAATTGTGATGCAACAATCAAATATTTGTCTAATATCTTGGAACTATATCTCAGCAAGAACCAGTGCTGTCAAAAGGAAGAGGAAAAGAAACTTTTATTCATGAATTGTATTTTGTTTTGTGTGTAGCACACCTAGACCAGCCATGCTGCAAGGCGCTGTATGATTTTGAGCCAGAGAATGAAGGAGAACTTGGCTTCAAGGAAGGTGACACCATCACATTGACCAATCAGATCGATGACAACTGGTATGAAGGAATGCTGCATGGCCAATCAGGTTTCTTCCCTGTCAACTATGTGGATGTGCTGGTCCCACTACCTCAGTGAGTGCTGAACTGGACACCGGATACAGATGTGGAGAGAGGGAGACTTTCAACATTCCTTTTAATTTAAAACACTAGTCCACTTCCATGGGTTGTTTCTCACAGTGCAGTGTTACATTGCGTGCAATGCATCATCATTTTATTTTTGAATTGACAAATATTTGTTCTATGTTAATGTAAGTGCAGCTCCAGTTACTCAGCATGTATTGCAATATGGTTGTGAGAGGTCAGCATTTAGTTCAGTGGATCCTTATGTGTAAGCTGTCCAGTTCTAGCAAAGTGAAAGGGCTGATATTAAGCATTTGCTTTGCAAAGGGAATAGCTGTGACAGTTATTGCTCCCAGTGTATGAGGTGCCCTTTCTACACTGCTCATCGGTTAAATTAGTCTCAATTGCACGGTTGATGCACGTGATCATGGGTCACACACATCACCTTCGTTTTAAACATATCTTTGTAATTACTGTGGTTCCCAATTCATTTGAACGTAGGGGTTATATCGATGTAATTTACGCTGTACAATGACTTGGGTTGTGCAGTGCACCAGACACTAGCCTTTCAATTCTTGTCTGGGTTCCTCTTCAGCCTGAACTGATAGGGTGGTTGTCTCCTCTGTCTGCAAACTAAAAGGATCATATCTGAAATGAGCTTGGCCAGGCCGAATCCAATATCTGCAGCAGTTAGCTGGCAATCATTCTCATTCTATGGGATACAATGTGACTGTTGTGGGAATTGGACAACCATCACACTAGTGGGGGATGCAGCACTGTGGTTGGAAGAAAGTGAATAGTCAGAGCCAAGTAGAGAGCTTAACCTTGGCTAACTATTGTGACACTGGGTGTCTGAAATGGAAAGTATCCAAGTGGTGATGTTAACCATTACAACTTAAGCCGTGAATTTAACAGGCTTTCTTTGCCTAACCCACCACTGCCTTCTATTTTCCCATGTTTACATTAACTATCCACTGTGGAAGAACCTAAGTTTAAGATGTGAATCAAAACAGGACTTTCATCCCTCTCTATTTTAAACTTAGCTATTTTTCCCGAACAATTCTGTCCGCTGGTTCGTGACAGATGTATTTTCCCCTCCCTCTCAGTTATGACCTTGTATAATTAGCAGGGGAACTTTGTGCTTCTATTCAAATCAATCATTACCTTTCTTAGAATAGGAAGAGGGGAATATAAGCCAGGTTTCTGCTCATGATCATTATCTGGCTGGTGAAGGTGTTTGCAGTGGCTGGGATGAGGAGAGTATGGAATCATGCTGTGTTGTGATAACTGCCATAGACACACAGTCCATTGACTCAGAAATGAAGAATAATACCTCCTTGAGTGAGGTTCTGGAAAGTGTCTGGTGTGCTTTGAATTGCACAACAGCAAGAATCAACACTTTGAAGAAAGGAAGAAAATGAGGAGGGGACAAGCATTCCTTTTACAAAAAAAAGCATCACTTCCACAACTGACCCAGCAATCAAATAGTTTGGACTGAACTCTTTGCAATCACCCCTGCACCCCAACCCCTACCCCTGTCTCTCATCCGCTCTCCAATCCATTATTAAATTGCAGGCCTGTAAAGACCTTTTTACTGAGGTTGAAGGTTTCTTACTGCTAAAATGGTGAAGTCTCATTCATGACTTTTGAGCAATTTGCACATCAAAGCTGGTGCTATGAATACTATCCTATGGTGTAAACACAACAAATCTGGAATTGTCCCAGATCTGTCATATAATGAGGCACATTTCAGTCTTTCAGTGAAATGGAGAGAGTAAGCAAGGGGTTACTCTCACATTCTTTGACTTCCCTAAGCCCTTATCCTGTTGCTGCTGCATCTGCTTTATGGATCCAAAAAAGGGTGTGCACAGGAACAGTTTAAAATTCTGACTTGTCCTTCGTCCTCCGTTCTCTCTTAACAAACACGTAGATAACTGGAATGAATTTTGTTTTCTGACAGACTTGAAATGTTCCCACTGTAATTTTCTATGGTCTAACTTTTAACTGTCTTTGTTTAATGATGAGCAAATCTCAGCTTCTGGTAACTCTTCCTGTTTTGACCTCCACGATGTTGAATGATAACCTGGTACAACACGTGCAGCATGCATCTGGCAGGCATCATGCTGTCACACTCCCATATTGACACTAGCTCTTTAACACTAATCATGATGTACCATATATCTGTCTAGTACTTTTTGATAGTGTTGTCAACTCATCGTGAACATTAGAAGATTGTGACCATACCTGTACTAATGCTTTATGAATTTGATCTATCTTTTGATAATTATAAAAGCCATGGGCTTATAACTCAAAATATGTATCTTTTTTACTGTTTAATCCTGCATGTAGATTTATGTTTAGTACAATTATAAACTATGTAGTGTTCTGTTCAGATTATGTAAAGATTATGTAAAGAATAAACAAATAGAAGGTAATAAGAGCTGGGATATCCCTAAATCTAAAGTTATTTTTTAGTTGGAGGGGATTGGTTTCAGAACAAAATGTTGAATATTAAATATGTATTTGACTAATGTTATTCCTTGCAAAGCTATGTGGCTTTGTGTACCAGCTTTGGTTGCAGCATTCTTGCATTTAGATGAGATTTCTTCACTTCAGAACTTGAGCACTTTATCCCTGCTGACATTCCAATGCAGTATTGATGGAGTGCTTTAGCGTCAGAAATGGCATCTCTCAGATGAATTGTTAAATTGTGGTCTCTTGTGCCTACTCCAGTGACCTATAAGGCCATTTGGTCACACTGCGACTGAGAGTAAATGAATACAAAAACAGATTGAGAGTGGTTTTACAAATATAGGAAGAGAACAGCTGAAGTAAACATTGGTCAAATAGAAGCAGAGTCGGGAGAAAATAAGAAGAATAAGGACAGAGATGTTGAACAAATACTTACTGTCTTCGTAAAAGATCCATGATACAGAGACAATAATCGAGGTGCTGAAGAGTGGGGAAATGAAATTAATTAGCATCTGATAAAAGGTATTGGAGAAACTTCAGGGAATAAAATTAAATAAATACATGGGACCTGTTGGACCTACTTCTTGCAGTTCTAAAAGGGAGCTGCAAAAACGGGATGGCCTGGTGTGATTTTTCATTGTCAACGTGATGTTGTGAAAGGAAAGATGTGTTGACAAATTTATTCAAGTTTTTTAAGGATAAATGGAAAGGTGTTAGAAAAAGGTTAATATACAAGCTAAGGGCTCGTTGTTGAAGTACATTAATAATGGTAATACATTAGCACAAATAAACCACTGGTTAACTAATAGGAAGCAAAAAATTGAGATAAACATGGCTTTGTCATCTTGATAAGCTGTGACTGAAGGAGGGCTGCAAGATTCAATGCTGGGGCCTCAGCTATTTACAATGTATTAAATGATTTGGACACAGACAGAATAATGTATCTTAATTTGCTGCTCATACAAAGCTAAGTGTGAATCCAAACTGTAAGAATGCAAAGCGACCTAGACCAGTTAAGTATGTGGACAACAAGTAGCCAGATAGAGTGTAATGTCGGTTAATGAGAGGTTATTCACTTTGGCCATTAGAATGGAAATGCAGTTTTTTGAAAGTCGTGGAACCTGTTCAGAGGGATGAAGACCACAAAGTTAGCATGTGAGTACAGCAAACAATCAGGATACCTTTACTGTAAGGAGATTGGAATAAAAGAATAAGGAAGACTTGCTACAACTGTATGGGATTTTGGTCAGACCACCCTGGTATGCTACATGCAGTTTTGGTTGACATGCTTAAGGAAAGATATACTAGAATTGGAGGTAGTAGAGTGGAGCTTGCTGAATTGGTTACTGGGATAAGAATGTTGGGCTATCATGGGATGAGTATTTTTAGCCATATCTTCATGCATTCCATATCTTCATGCATTTTCTTCCCGTTTGGAGAATAACAGGAAACTGGTGGAAGGACTCCTGACTGATTATTAGCCTGTTGCACTATTCCATGAACAAACTCCTTCCAATGCCAACAAGTGTGCCACTTGAGCCTGGAGATTGTGGCCCATAGAAAGTGATGTTACCGCTGCACCACAAGACCACATATAGCCTGAGTTAATTGGACAGATATTCTGTGGGGTTCAAAAGAATGAGAGAATATCTCATTGATACACATATCTGAATGGGCGGCACAAGGTAGACCCCAAGAGGCTACCTTCCCCAATCAGAGGAATCTAGAATAAAAACACAGAATAAGGTGTTGATCATTTAGGACTAAGATGAGGAATTTCTTCAGAGTTGGGAGTCTTTGGAATTCTCTATCTGTGAGAGTTGTGAACACACCACTATTGAATATGTTAAGAGCTTGAGGAATTGAAGATATGGAGAATGGACAGGAACGTGAAGTTGCAGCCAACGATTGCTTTAGTAATATCGAATGGTGGAACCATTGGCACAAATGGTGCATTTAAAAAAAATAATATATAGGAGCAGAATTAGGCTGTTCAGTCCATCGAGTCTGTTACATCATTTGATCATTTTTCTCAACCCCATTCTCCTGCCTTATTCCTGTATCCTTTGATTCCATTACTAACCAAGAACCTAACTATCTATGTCTTAAAACCTGAGTTTTATCAAAGAGTTGCAGTACTGAATCTGTTTGGAGCCTTGCATTAAAACTATTCAAGCCACCGATCCAATAGTGGAGAAATAAATCCCTTTTTTTCCAACTAGATAATTTGTAGTTCTGGTCAATCAGGGACATTAAAGATGGGCCCAAATTTTCACACTATTAATCCATCCAATTATCAGCCCATTGATAGTACCAGGTAATGTAAATCACCAGTTTTTAAGTTGGCTGGATTCTCATGTCTAAAGCTTTGTTGAATGGTTGGCTGGAGGATGTTTGGCAATGTTTATAGCTTGTTGACTGGCCTCCTGGAGCAATCTAAACGCCTGCATAATTTTATTATTCTGAAACCAGAGTCTTCAGAGATTTGGATGCCAGAAACATTCATGAGTCATAGATCAGTTCGTTCTTGGTAGGAGAAAAAGTTTATTTTTATCTGGCCAGCTGTATAATTATTGTATTTTCAGTGACTTCATTCTGTGTCAACTTATTTCATCTACTTCTGGAACTCTCTTCCAATTGTGTGAAATCCATTTTGAATATTCATTTTGAGTATCACAATTCATGATTTTATTGCAGATTAGAATTTAAAAATATTTAACTGTAACCATTTAGTCAGGGATGTTCATTAGTTATACTATCCTGATGCATTTTCTATGTGTGAAGAAACCGTGGAATGTCTGATCGTGAGCAGGACAAAAGTGAATCCACTCTCACCAGAAAGTCCAAATTCTCTTCACTGAAGAACAGGTGAATGTTTGTGTTTGTACTCATTCCTCACTAATGAAATAGTAGGATTGTGTTAGCTTGAACCCTGATTGTGATTTTATTGCCAGATTGTAAGATTCATGACAAAGGCACAATTTCTTTGATGACTTTGATGTGATCAGACTCTTTACAGCCGTGAAGAATTCTGTCTGTTTGATGCTGAAGGTATTCCTCAGAATAAAATGCAGCATCATTGACATAGAATAACACTGTGGTAAGGCCTTGGCGTACTTTTGCCTTGGATTTCAGGCAGGGAAGATTGTCACTTTGAAGTAGATACTGTCTGTTGATCAACTGAAGGCATGTGACAGTAGCAAAGAGAAGAGTATTCCAAAGTATGTAGATTCCACAATACAACTGTGTTTGACTTTACTGAGGATGTCAGATGTCTTATGCTGCCAGACCTGTTTGTGTTCCCTCATTGTTTGGTTAACTCAGTACAGAGTAGCAAGATCTCTCTAGGTCACTTTCACTCCAAGCAGCTTATTTACCACTGAAACCATCGTGTAGAAACCACAAATGGAGCATCAATCATGAGTCTCAATTCTAATACTAATTTTGTGAAAGCTCCAGCTTTTCACATATGTAAAAGTAACTCTCTTGGGAAAACTGAAACACATCAGGGCTGCTTTTTGCATGTATTGCTGGATGGAATGTCTAGCTGTATTAAACTCCATTAGTTTCCAGGAATCAGAAAAGACAGCTGGACAAAGTTACTAAGTACGAGAATAAACTAGATGAAGTCCAAATTTCCAATTCACAAGGAAAAAGAAAGTTTTCTGTAAGTTTCATTCAGTGTGCTGGTCCTCTAGCTTTGTATAAGTCAAGGTTGTCCACAGCTTAGTACCACAGGTTGGAGTTTGCTGTCTCTCAGGTTATCAGTCTTGGAAATGCATTTACAGTCTTCAAAGTGTCTCAAAACAAACGCAACTGAAGTTCAGATTTTCAAAACCATTTTATTAATGAAAACTAAAACTTAAAAATTATATTTTGAGATTTAAAAAGTGTCTACATCTGGGTTTTCAACATAATTGCAATTCTTTAAAACAGTTTGAATATTTACAGCACTTTTACATTAAATTCACTTGGTCTATTTAGTATCAAGAAGCCACAATCCTGTTTCTGCCATGACTTGAAAATATGAGGTTTTAAAGCCCTGATCCTCCTCTAAGACGCTGTGCAGTGCAATAGTGGATATGATGCACCAAGTCCTAAGCCACAACCTTTATAACTACTTCTTCTGTACTCCGGTGAGTGAGCCTGGTGCTGGGAGGACTTAAGTTTCAGCATTAATAACTCCAAGGATAATTAGACTCAAAGCCCTTTTCTCCAAGTGTTCCAAATCCAACACCTTATAAATGTGCACCATTTTAAAAATCAGCTTTCTGTGACCTCTGAATGAGCGCACTTGATTTGTGCTTCATTAAGGATTGCTCTGAGCACTAGGGTCAAACACATTGACTACTCTAACCATATTTCACAGGGAGCTCTTATGGCCAGTTTCAGTTAAATGTCTGCTCTGGCATCAGTCTGGACTGTAGAGACTCTTGCTTGCATGTTATAAATGTCATGTATCTGATAAAGACATCTCATCTTCCAATTTACTATCTGGTGAACAACTACTGACTCATCACTCAAAGTTCACTCAGCTAGCTGTTTTGATATTTTATTTCTCATCTATGTTCTTTTGGGACCAATTAAGGAATAACTTGAAACTTGGAGAGTTTAATTATATTGTTAATACTAAGGGTCAGGCACAGCTGGGGTAAGAAACAGACAAAATGAAAACCTGAGTGTCCCAAGTGGCAGTCCACAACTTACACCATAAGTTCCAGGAAGAAAATAAAATTGATAAATTAAGTTTAATTTTTCTACTTAACACAACTGATTTTAATATTTTTGATAAGAAAAGCAAGCCCAACATGCTTGTACATCTGTTCTAATTAACTTTTGAGACTGCACCGGGAGTCACATTCAACACAATGAACGTTGGAGATAAATCTAATGAGAGTTGAACATGAAGGTTTTTTTTTTCTGGAAATGTTTTCCCTTTCTCACTCCACAAAACCCTGTATTTACTCCAGTTCCTAACCTTAATTATTATCATTTTTCCCTAACTCGAGTGTGGCAGGACAATTGCTCATGCATAGGATTGCCTGCCAAACAAACATTCTAATATGGGTTAGGTTACGGAGTGGAAACCCTAACTGGATTGTCCTCCCCCTTGTTCAGAGCCTTTTATATCCATTTCCCCACCTGGCTAAAGTCTATTAATTCTTAATATATAACTGAATCAAACTCAAAAATACCTGTTTTGCATGATACAGATAGTTGTAGTGATTGACAAATAAAACCATTTCTCCCCTACAAATTGGTGACACTTCTCTAAAGTGCTACAATAAAAAAAACATATAAAAATATAATCACTAATGATCATGGACATATGTAGTCACAACATACAATGCAGATAGATTAGAATTCCAACAGCCACTTTTTAAGTGAATGTTATGTTCCTGCAGTGCCTGAAAAGTGGCTGTAAGTTGATGTATTAACCAAAGTTGATAAAGAATGAAAATCTGAGCTGTACCTCTGATTTGGTAACGTATAGTAGATGGGAGGGTGCAAAGTCTTTTAAGTAACTGACAAAATCCCACATTTTGTCCTTCACACTAAGAAAAGGTGTATTACACCATATAAATCATATTGTTCTGCTGCTAAAGTAAAGATCACCACCCGCTCCCCCGCAACAACCCCCATCCCCACTTAAAGTCAAAAAGTGCAACTGCTGTGCCATCTTGAGCAGAGGCTATTTGTTCTCAACATGTCAAGCCAACCAAAGTGGCTTCTAATACTTTTGTCGAAAGGTGTGATTACCAAAATCAAATTAAGTTATTTTCTCTTGATGCAGCATTCTCTCTGTAGATTGAAAATGAGCTTCTTTCTCTTCCCTAAATACATTCCTGCAACTTTCAAGCATCACGTGCCATTTTTAGCAGTGCCAGACCAATTGTTAGGGCTTTGTCTACTGCTACTGAGGGAAAATGTGAAGTTTTGAAATTACAGACATCATACAAGTGGGTAAATTTCTCACCGTGCACTCTGATGCAAAACCTTGCCTTTTGAGGAAATTCTAGCAAACGTCTCGTATTATTGAAAGATTTAAAGCTTTGAATCCATCACTAGTTTCATTGCTTCCAATACAATCAATAATCACAATAGTGACACATGGAATAAATCTGTTTCTGTAGAAGGCTTTCAGGGCGACTTCATCCATAAGGGTGTTGTTTCTGTGTAAACTTGCTTGTACTATTTTTTTTTTTAAACCATGGGTGCTAGCCAGTTAACTTCCCTGTGTTAAGATAGCTCAAAAGGAATTTCAATAATACTGTATTAAGCATTTGCAGGTTAATGGTTGGAAACCTGACTCAATAGGTGAGGCAGTTTCAGGTAGTTTCACTCAGATGGAGGACTATCTTTCCCATTGATTCCCCAAGGAGCTGCTCCAAGAAAGTGGGTTGTGTCCAAAAGTAAACATCAAATATATTACGAAAACAACTGGCACCCTGAATCTGCTCATGAAAATCTGCCAACCTCTTCCCAGCACCAAGGGAATGTCTATGAAGACCAGCCTTTAAAACCTGCATTGCTGCTCTAGGAAGATTGCATGTTTAACCCACCCTCGCTTAGCTAGGTACAACAATGGCACTGGTTATTTATTTACTTGCTAGCTGCAAGCCTTAAGTTTAGAAGCCAGCCCTCTGAACAGTATAATATAACAGTGATACCGTATATGCTGAAGAACAGGCAAATTTGTTTCCTTTCACCCCCTCTGATGAAACTGCAACCACAGGAGAACAGAACCAAAGGCAGCAGTGTCATCTAGTGGTCAGCTTATACGGTCATCAGACATTATGGCTTTGGAATTTATGGTTATTTTCTGTGGGAATGCACAAACCTGCACCTTTGCGTAATGCACCTCATGGCTGGTATGTAATGAGTAGGGGTTGGTCCAGAGATAGGGATACTAACACTTTGCAACAGCCATTATGGGCCAGGTTTTAATAGCTTTTTGAGGAATATCATTAGGGGTGTGGTCATGATTCATGAAGATTAATGACAGCACAATTTAAACAGGTGGACTGCAGTATGTTCATGAAATGAGCGTAAAAGAATGTGTTGCAGTGTGAAGACTGTGAACTGGTTCAAAAAGTTGTCTTAGAATGACTGTGGTAATATCGGAGGTCGCGACCATTTTAGATGCAACAGGGCTGTTTTAACTATTTGGTTCCAGACAGACATTGCCTCTCCCATCTCAACCCAGTGGAAAACATTGATCCTGTGCCAGGAACCACCTTATGCCTTATCTAAGTGACAGTGAATGCCCGTGCAATTTTATTAAATAGTGCTCTCTATCACACACACAAGCCAGACTTCAAGCTGTGAGGAGACCAATTTATTGCGATCCTAGGTAAGATCAGCAACACAGCCTGGTTTTTTTTCGTCTCTGGAACACACACTGGCATATCAATCCAACCAACAGATGACAGCAATCTGTTAATACCAACTAGAGATTTGAAATTCAAAAGCTGACAGGCTAGTGTTTTGTTTACCAGTAAACAGAACTTGCTGAATATTTGCAAAACTTGCACATTTTCTTCCCTATTGTACATGAGGTATTTACATTTTATAAAGCACCTTCTATTAATTTTTCTTATATAAAAAGCACCTAATGGCCCCCGACAGAAAAGACCTGAATGTCCTATAACACCAGTACCTGGCTCACTAAAACACAGTCATCTTGAGTGTAGAACTACTGTAATTACATTTTGAGCAACTATAAGAAAGGCAAGAGCATGGATCCCAGCTTTTCAGATGTGAATCTTCTTTCACTAACTGCACCTGGCCTAAAGAGAGTCTTGTTGGGAATATGTCAATACTGATAATACATAGGTATGTACCTCAAATTCCCTGTACTGTGATCTCCTGATTTGAAACCCACCACTCATCGCAGCTGCACATGGGAAAATTGGTTCTGTAGTTTTAATGGAGCCTTTTCCTCTGTGCCTAATGGGATAGTCCCAGCAAAATGACACTCTTCCTTTTCCCAAGCAAAAACAAAAGTCACTGGGCAGTAGAAGGAGAGGGAGTAATGTTAACTTTCTACTGCCAGCAGTGCTCAACTGGCTAGCCAAGGAGTGTGAACCCTAATCAACAAGACACAACCTGTCTGTAAAGCATCAAAAGGAAAATGGGGGCAAGATCTAAATTCATTTCTTCTCTAGGTGTATTTATGAATGAATGCACTTTAAGCAGATTTCAATTTGTACTGGAGAAAGTACAAATAATTAAATGAGACCAGGCGGAGTTAGAAAGCTTCCAATCTCCAAGGCAAATCACAGATGTTGGGGTTCTCAGCAACACAAGATTGCTGGTGGTACTTGTAATTTCTTCACTTCCTGTGCATAGGGACAGAAAGTAGTGAGACTCTCCACTAGCTACTCTCAGTGTCAAACCAATGCATCTCGAGTTGAACCTGTGTAGGTGCCTAACTTTCTACCAAACAATTTTTTTTACTAAGAAAGTAGAATCCCTTCAGGTTTCGCAGCCATACTGTCACATGTACGCTCAGTGACAAAAGCTGTTTGGATATACCCTACAGCTTTGTAATTTTCTTTTTAACTATTTCCTCATTTCCACAGTCCCACGACAGGCTTCCAACTAGGGATCTAGTCTTTTTTGTTGGACTCACTAACAGGATTCCAGCTCATCCTGAAAGCTGGTGAAGGTACACAACACAGACAGATATCATGGAAGTGAGCTTTTACAAAATCATTCACAAAACATTCTTCAGTTCATTACTTAAATGTAGTGTCTCTGAACATCTTCATATTTAACATTTTGCATTCGAATTGTCATTCTATTGTGAAACTAGATACCAACACAGTCTACAAACTGAAACTGGTGTCAACATTCAACCATTTTGAGGCAAATTTGTTTGTCTCTAACACAAACTATTCAATAACAGTAAACACTGAACAATCACATTCCAATTCAACCCTGATCTCTTCTGCATAATTTCCACATTCACCTTCCTCAGTTCCTTTTTTTTCCAGCTTTATTCCATTTCACAGCTGCTAAGAATCCAAACGAAGTTAACTAACTGCAGGCGCTCAGCTGGTTATAAATGTGTTCCAGAACTTTGACAAAGGTTTGGTCCTTTGGTGTTTTATTGGCCAGGGATCCCTTTAAATGCAAAAGGAAAAAGTGATTAAGATATAGCCATACCAGCAAGTTGCAGTAATTGGTTAAATTTCTTGAAAAAGCACTTTGAGGACGTTAAAATGCAGAATAAAGGAAAATTATTCCTATTATTGTGTACAAACAGATTGGAGTTACCTATAAGCCAAAGCTCAACAATGGGGAATCATCGTATTTGGTAATGGAAAACATTTCTCCAGGAAACCTTTGTAGTAGCACAGAGCCTATGCCAGACCAAGCTTACTGATGACTTTCATTAGTGTGAAATCCCACATCAGCCTTTCTTCATTCCAGATTTGTTTTTGGTGGTCTGAGGTGCACATGGAAGCCAAAAAACAGCTCAATACGACATCTGGGATCTTTAACTGTATTCGGAATATTCAAGGGGCGAAAAGCCAACTTACTTTAACTTTCTCCAAATATGTTGTCTCCTCATTCCATTTGTCTTTGAACTTCACAATGTCTGGAGCTGTTTTGTAATATTCCAACAAAAGCATCTGTCAAGGGAATGTCAAACAAAATGTGCAATTTATTAAAAATTATTAAAGAGAATACTTGAGAGAAATCAGGAGGGTGAAGACAGGGCGTGAGATAGCTTTGGCAAATAGGGTTAAGGAGAATCCAGTGATTCTCCAAATATATTACATTAAGGGGAAAAAAGTAACTAGAGACAGAATAGGGTCCCTTAAAGATCAACAAGGCTGTTTACATATGGAATCACAGAAGATGGGGGCAGATACTAAACGAGTATTTTGCTTCAATATTTACTGTGGAGAAGGATCTGGAAACTAAAGAACTTGGAGAAATAAACAGTGATATCTTGGAAAGTGTCCATCTTACAGAGGATAAGGGGCTGGACATCTAAAAACACATAAAGGTGGATAAATTCCTGGGACCTGATCAAGTGTATTGCAGAAATTTGTGGGAAGCTAGGGAAGTGATTGCTGGACCCCTTACTGAGATATTCGTATCATCGATAGCCACAGGTGAAGTGTCGGAAGACTGGTAGGTGGCTATTGCTGTGCCATTATGTAAGAAAGGTGGTAAGGAAAGGCCAAGGAACTATAGACCGATGAGCCCAAAGTCAGCAGTGGGTAAATTATTGGAGGGGATTCTGAGGGACAGGATTTACATGTATTTGGAAAGGCAAGGACTGATTAGGGACAGTCAACATGACTTTGTACATGGGAAATTGTGTCTCATTAACTTAATTGAGTTTTCTGAAGTGATAAAGAAGATTGATGAGGCTGGAGCGGTGGATATTGTCTATAGGGTCTTCAGTAAGGCATTTGACAAAGTTCCACATGGTAGACTAGTTAGCAAGGTTAGATCACATGGAATCCAGAGACAACTAGTCAACTGGATACTAAGTTGGCTTGAAGGTAGGAAACAGAGGATGGTGGTGGAGGGTTTGTTTTTTTTTTCCGGGCTGGAGGCCAGTGACCAGTGGTGTGCCACAAGGATCAGTGCTGGGTCCACTGCTTTTTATCATTTATATAAATGATTTGGATGTGAATATAGTAGGAATGGTTAGTAAGTTTACAGATGACAGCAAAATTGGTGGTGTAGTGGACAGTGAAGGAGGTTATCTCAGAGTACAACAGGACATTGATCTAATGAGCTGATGAATGGCAGATGGAGGTTAATTTAGATAAATGAGAGGTGTTGCATTTTGATAAGGCTCATCAGGGCAGGACTTATGCACTTAGATGATAGGGTCCGGGGGAGAGTTCCCGAACAAAGAGACCTTGGGGTGCAGATTCATAGTTACTTGAAGGTGGAATCACAGGAAGACAGGGTAGTGAAGGTGGCGTTTGGTACACTATCGGTCAGCGCACTGAGTATAGAAGTTAGGATGTCATTGTTGCAGCTGTACAGGACATTGGTTAGGCCACTTTTGGAATACTGCATTCAGTTCTGGTCTTCCAGCTAAGGGAAAGATGTTGAGAAACTTGAAAGGGTGCAGAAAAGATTTACAAAGACGTTGCTGGAGTTGCAGGGTTTGAGTAACAGGGAGAGATTGAATAGGCTGGGGCTATTTTGCCTGGAGCGTTGGAGGCTGAGGGTGACCATATAAAAGTATATAAAATCATGAGGGGGCATGGATAGGGTGAATAACCAAGGTTTTTTTTTTCCTGGGTAGGGGAGTCTAAAACTAGAGGGTATAGGTTTAGGTGAAAGATAATAAAAGGGACCTAAGGGATACCTTTATCACGCAGAGTGTGTGTGTGTATGGAATAAGCTGCCAGAGGAAGTGGTGGACGCTGGTACAATTACAGCATTTAAAAGGCATCTGGGTATATGAATAGAAAGGCTTTAGAAGGAAATGGATCAAATGGGACTAGATTAATTTAGGAGATCTGGTTGGCATGGATGAGTTGGATCAGAGGCTCTATTTCTGTGCTGTACAATACAGAATGACTCTAGGGCACAGCTGCCCTGTTTGTATCCACCTTCCCAGTCTTCAAAGATATATTACAATGTGGGGTAATACAAGAACCTGTGGCGTTGTTAACTATGGTCTAACTTTGTGATACCGTGAAGAGTATCGGAAACTTCATAAACAACAGCTTTGAGTTTGCATGCACTTGCAGAATTTGGTCACTGGATGGGAGGAAACAGCACTACTGAAATGTTCCAGAAAGTTCAGGAAACCAGGGTGGGTTTCACTGAGGCAGATGCAGGGTTGCTGCAAGAGTATTCAATATGCTGCGTGAACCTTCAGGCTTCACTATGTACACACCACCTCCCTGCCCACCAATAGTAGTGTTCTGCATTAGTATGAATAAACATTCTGCATTCATAATTCCAGACAAATATATCATGACACTGATTGTGGAGTAACGTGAATACATACTTTGCAGAGGATCCATACTCAAAGAAATGCATTTTACAATGTGTAATATGCTCACGATGCATTACCATGCCCTTGCAAGAGTTGAGAGATGTTTTTGTGTAATTTACACAGTCAATGCTCGTTACAATAGAACAGGTTAGATTAAATTACATTCTTTGATATTTAATGGTTTGTACTTAAATTGGAAGTCATGTAGATGTACATATTTGTAAAACAGAATCAAAATGAAGTGAAATTTTGAAAAGACAGCAATGTGAATACCTTGAAATCTATGTGTATGTGGGTGTACATCCACATATATTTGGACTTTAGAAGCCTGTTCAGTTACTCATGTAGTTTCTCAAGTAATTCATTATGGTTCTGCCAAATTTTATTCTCTACTCGACTGCTCAGTTTGCTGAAGGGTCCTTGATTTGTTAAAAATTTATACGATGTAGTTGCTTTTGCTATTTCTTTATTGCTTAAAATCTACTACTTTAGGTTGTTTCCTCTTCAAAACTGGAATAGTCTCATTGGAGTTCTCATTTGCAGTCTTCAAAAGGTGAGACTATTCCAATTGTAAAATGTTCCCAACAGCAGCTGCCTGCCTCACACCATTAGTTAGCATTGGCACTGTTCAGAAAGCACTTTAATTGGTATGAGAATGAGGAACAGGAGATGGGGAAAAATGGAACAAGATGAGGACCAGACTGAATGCAGCGTTGGACAAACTGTTTTTAAGGAGAATCCTGAAGGATAGGATCATGCTGAAGTTTGAGACACAGCGTGGAGCTAGAGAAATTCAGGCAGCATCAGAATGCTTCTGAAGAAGGGTCCCGACCCAAAACATCAACTTTCCTGCTCCTCTGATGCTGCCTGGCCTGCTGTGTTCATCCAGCTCCATGCTGTTTTGTTTCCGAATCCAGCATCTGCAGTTCTTGCTTTCTCATTCTGAAGTATTTTAGTTCAGGGCAGTCATTGCAAGATAGTCCCCAATGCTGAAATACCATTTGTAGAGTCACTGAGAAATTGGGATGGGGTGTGGACAGGATGGAGAACAAAGTTAAGAGACAACTTGTATATTTTAAGCCACGCTGTCATTGGAGCCTTAACCACATTCAGTTTGTAACAGAATCCCAGAGGATCATCATACAGCTTGTAATGGTCAGGCAAAAACAGTGAAAGAACATTTGTCAATTTCCAAAAGGGACATTTTTTGTTTTGTGAACAAACTGAAGTCTAGCCATTACAAAAAAATAAATAAGTACCATTTCATGTAGGACATCAGAGGTTAGAAACGTATCCTGCACATAGGTCATCTCCACTTCCATGGGAATGCCATAATCGTTGGGCTTTTGCTAAAAGAGATGAAAATGGATTGAGACAGGGATGCTCCACAGACCAGAGACAAATGGAGACTTTATTTAAGCTATCAGAACTAAGATGACCAAACCCTCATTCTGTCCCAAGTGATGCTGAAAGTCCTATATCACAACATCCCTCGACATAAGATAAATTACTCAATGGAAGAATGGAATTAAGCCGAGAACTTCCTCTCCCAACCAAAACGGGCACTGGTCAGTGCAGCCACTATTTCACCTAGTGTACCTGCAGAGATGAGGCCCAAACGAAATCATGTACATACCATCAGTCAGCTCTCTGTGCCAAATTGTCAGGCACCTTAGCTCACTGGCTGGGTAGTCCTGCATTGAGACCTAATTTGCAAATTTAAGCAGTCGCATGCAATTTACAGAAATGCAGGCTGCTTGTACAAATATTGCAATAGTCAATGTCCCCCAGCCACCCCCTAGCTGAATGTTAACCACTATTTTTCAAGGGCAGAATAGATGACCACAAGTTGTATTTTTAACCCATGGAATTTTATAGCATGAAAAGAATGGAAAGTCACAACATTTATGTAACATGCTCATGCCTTAGGTAGTGTTGTTCAGAGGACATAACTAGCAACAATTTGCATGTTATAAGATGCCACAAACAGCAATGGGAGAAATGAAATCTGTTTTAATGGTATTGTCTGCAGAGATAAATGTTCATGAAATGGTACTATACCTTTACTTATTTTGGATTAACATCTCATCCCTCAGCATCAAAATGATCTAAATTGAGAGATGGGATTTGAAGCATAATCCTTTGACCTCTGACCCAAACTAGCACTCAAGATTATTTGGCCCATTGTGTCTGTGCTAGCTCACTGAAAGCTCATCATTTATTCCCATTACCCAAGATTTAATTTTACTCTTTACAAATATTTCTCGACTCCCCCTTTGAAGGCCACTACAGGGATTTTTCTGCATCCCACCCTCCCCCACCCTGCCACCAGTCTCAGGTAGAACATCCCACATCATAATAATAGGAGTCCCAATAATACCATAGGGGGAGTCAACAGTGTAAGTGGTTACGTCACTTGCTCTGGGGTTACAAGTTCAAATTACACCATGGCGTTTGGTACAAACTACATTAAATTCACAAATCTGGAATTGGCAGCTAGACGTAACATTGGTGGTGATGAAACTATCACTGAAACCCATCTGTTTTACTGGTGTTCTTTAGGGAGTGAAATCCACCATCCTTACTAGGTCTGGCCTTCATATGACTGCAGACCCACAGTGTGGTGGTTAACTGTCCTTTGAAATAGTCCAGCAAGCCATTTAGGACAAGGACAATTTGGGATGGGCAACAAATGCCTTTGCAGTACTGCCCACACCCGATCCAGGAATGTATTTTAAAAAGAAACTTTGCATTAAAAAGGATCACTGGACCTGAAATGTTGGCTCTGCTTTCTCTCCACAGATGCTGCCAGACCTGCAGAGTTTCTCCAGCAATTTCTGTTTTACTTTCAGATTTCCAGCATCCACGGTTCTTGGGGTTTTATTTTACTGCCAACTGTTTTCCTGTTTACATCATAAAAACTCTGCAATTTGAAACACCATTATCTCCCATCAATCCCCAATGTTTGCCCTAGTTTCTTCCTGATACCTGGTACAGATATTTTTAAACAACTTGTTCAGAGTCATTATGACACACCTCTTGAACAGGTGGAACTTGAACTCAGGTCTCCTGGTTCAGAGGCAGGGAAACTACCACCTACCTCTAAATCTTCTCTGTGGCTTTTGCTGTTGCTTGTTTGTTTAATGGGAGTGGTGTTGGCTAGGTCGTTACAGATTGCCCATTGCTAGTTGGGCCCAGGGCTTTTTAGGCATCAGCCACTTAGCATAGGCTGGAGTCTCATTTAGACCAGGTTCGGACAGGCAGTGATGGACATCAGTCCAATAAAAGCAAAATATTGCAGATGCTGGAGATCTGGAATGTAAGCAGAGAACGTCCTGCAGAAACTCAGCAGATCTGACAGCATCTGCGAAAAAAGAAACAGAGTTAAAACATTACATCCAATGACTCGTCCTTCAGTTCTGAAGGATTCAGGACATCAGTCGATGTTTTACAACAATCCATAAATTTTCACGTTCATTTCCTGGTGCGAGATGTATTGTGCTCGTTCATAAAGCACCCAATCCGGGCTGATACCTTGTGCAGTACAGAGAGAGCATGCTCTTTTTCAAAATGTGGCATCTTTAAAACGAGAGGTTTAACTATCTGTCCGGTCAGATCAATGTGAAATATTAGCAGAAGAGAAGTGAATGCCTCTATTCCTGACTCCTATTTTATCTGGTTATTATCATATTGCTGTTTATGGAATCTTACTGTGCACGTTAGTTATTACGTTGAGACGATTCAACAGTGAATACACTTCAAAACATTTGAAGTTCTTTGGGATGTCCTGCAAAGTGTTATATAAATACAATTTTTTCTAGGAATCTATATAATAAAGCATCAGCTGCATTTCTTTTTGCAGAGTATTCCTCAAAAGCATTCAAGTTTTCTCACATCTCTGCTTTCAAAATCAGAGTTTCAGAGGCGAGGCAAGTGTACCTGGTTCTAAATGACTCTCTCTAGTCACACAGTTGGTGAGCGTGAGAATAGAATTCTGCAATTCTAAAATTAGTTAGATGAAATCAAATGAGTATTCATTTGATAGTGTCAGTTAATAATTACCTGCAACTATGCACTTCCACTTAATCCATTGTCAGAAACGTCCAGAAAATGTTATTTTCCAAGCCAACAAAATAAATAGTGCTTCCTTCATAGTTAAGAGTTTCAAGCCAAACAGTTGCTCAGAGCTGCCAACAGTGCAGTTTTGTGACTGGAACTTTGAGATATTTAATATCTCCATAAAGGGAAATTCTGATGTGATTCCAGTCCCTAAAGTATTGCCTACTGAACCCTTTCTGCTGTTTTACTCCATATGTTATAGCTAGTGCATTACTTCAATATCACCACTATTAGAAGGAACAAGATGAGATATTAGATTCAGTAGTAACATCAGTAAAAATTCAATGGACATGATTTTCAAGCAGCTCAAAGTGGAAGAGAATGAGTGGAGCTCAAGACATTTCAATTGACGGATGCCTGTTCAGTTCCTCCTGTCTTCATGGTCTTCAGTAGCCAGCTTCCAGGACAGAGGCACCATTAACTGCAGCCTCAGCAGTTTTCACTCAAACCCACTGCACAGTTCCAGTGTCGAGGAGTAGGGGAAAGAGAGAGATTCTGGCTTCAACTGACTCTTGGGGAAGACAGCGGTACGAAAGTGGCATCAGTCGCATTGCCCATCTATATTCACGGTAGGCCAGGTTCAGCTTCTACATGGATTATCTTCAGGAATACTACAGTGATGATTCCAGATTACTGACAGGTCACAGCAATCACAGATTAGCTTTCTGACTCTCTTCAGTAGCAGGCAAACATTGCGACGTTACTGGGGAATCTGACAATAACCATCCATGAAAACAACACAGCAACAGATGGGTCACTTACCTCTGGGGGTGGTAGAACCCAAAATGGAGCGATTTTCGACTCCAAGTCGGTGCTTCCTTGATGATAGGGCCCTTAAAATCAACAGAGACTATCTATTAGGATACTTTCCCCTTCCTCGTGTTAATAAATACAATAAGACAGAAACACTCACCATCAGGACAACCAACAGGACAATAATCTGTCTCCTGTCCAGACTGCGTTTTGGGTTCTAAAGAGTGATTGCAGCTCTGTCACTGTGACCACCGTAACTTACTTAAGCCCAGTTGGAGACCACCCTCCCATCTTAAATCCTTGAGCTTTTAATTCCCTTTTACCTTGATTGTCACATTGCTAGTTTGTTCTTTTAATTCTGCTTGCTCTTACGGTCACGTGCAATTCTGCAGGTTAGCACTGTCCTGCCAACTACAGTATCTCAAATAAGTTTATTTTGCCTTCCCTTGAAGATAGATTTTTTTTGGCGGTATAAGTTTCAGCTTTCTCTGGCACTGACGTTTTGGAATGGATATTTCTAATGCGCATCAAACACCAACGGCCTATTCGACTACATGGGTCATCCCATCCATATGTGCACTTTCTATTAATCAGGCACCTGCTGAAACTTTGGATCTGTGAATATTAGGGGAAGGGCTGTGTTTATTTCAGCTTAAGTAATTAGCAAAGCATTACTCTAAGTTTTACAGTGCCTTTTAAATGTAGGAAATTATTGAAAGGCACATCACCATTGTAATCAGACTGAGATTGACCTTCCCAAAAAGGTCTGGGGAGAGAAGATAAACTTGCTTGGTGATCTGTTTTATGGTGTACTTTAGAGGGTGAAAGAGAGCAGATAGGTTAAGGGAGAGAATTCCAGAGCTTAGAGCCTATATACTTGAAATCCCAATGGGCTATGCAGTAGGGAATAAGCAAGGGGCCAGAGTTGGGCAAAAGCTGAACTTTTGAAAGGTTGCAGAACTTGAAGAAGTTAAAGCTTGGGAAGAGAGAGACAATAAAAAAAAAATGTAAACACAGGCATGAGAATTTTAAATTAGGAAGGTTTGTAGAGCAGGGCCCAACATCAGACAACAAACAAGGGTGATGTTTAAACAGAAGTTTGTACAAGGGTATAGAAAAAGATTTCAGAATGAGCTTAAGTTCTTGGAGGCTCACCAGGAAAGCACTAGAATAGGTGAGTAGAGATTGGTAGCTGAAAGTTTCAGCAGAAATAGACTGAAGGCAGACACTGCATATAGGTGGAAATAGGCAGTCCTTGAGATAAAGAAGTTATCATGTCCAAAGCTCAGCTGTGGTTAAAAATGGTTAATTCTTGCTGCAACAGTGACCAAAGAATGGGATGGGTTTGATGGCAGAGGCACCGAGTTGTGAGGGAGAGGTAAAAAGTAGTCACCGTTGTCTTATCAATTTGTAGGATTGCTGTTTTATTAGAGAGACGACTGATGGTAGTTTAACCAGAGAGTCAACACGCCTCAGGCAAGAGAAGCGGTTGAGAAGGAGAGTCCATCATGGTAAGCTCAACCAATGCATCACAGCACAAATACAATTACAACATCTAAAAGATATTTGGGCAGAAACATGGATAGGAAAGGTTTAGAGGGATATTGGTCAAATGCAGGCAAATGGGACTAGTTCACAGTTGGTATGGGTGAGTTGGGCAAAAGGATCTGTTTCCATGCTGTATGACTCTAGTTTATCATGTAGGTCCAGGTATGCTGACTAATGTTCCTAATCACTTTCAGGACACTACAGCCACCATACACATGGCCCACAAGCTGATGTTTGTACTGTATGTGCTCTAGGTTTACCATATTACTGTACTGATCATTTACCTCCTGAATGCAGTGCCCACAAATTAATGCATCACAAACTTCTTACCACAGATAAGTGCTAGACAGGGCTGGAAACTATTGGTGGTTCCCTGTAGTTTCAGTTGATATTCCATCTGAGAATCGATGTCTTGCAAAGAGGGTAGGGCAGGCGTGTACGGGTGGCTGTGATACCAACCTACTAAAGACAAGCCCCGCAGGAACAGGTTCTGGCAAATCTGTGGAAAAGATTGATTTCACTTCAGCGAGGATGCAAAGTCAGGTGAGTCTAGACTGATCAAACCACCTTGAGACCAGCATTTGTGTGTGTTCAGATATTGGATAAATGCTACATTGCACTTTTGACCTGACATTCTAGTATGAGGACTAGGGCATGCACATTGATGCTTTCACACATGCCACTGAAACAAGTTTGAAATGGATTTGCAATTTTTTGTCGCTCCCACAAAATCAATTTTAAAAATTCTGAAGGGGCTTCAATGAGAAACAAAGTTACTTCTGACAGTAATTACTGTATTTAGAGACACAACACTACCATGCATTAATACGACGTGTTTATTATTAGAAGTCCTTGTTTAACATTGCTCTGTTTAGCATGGTTTCAATTCAACATCAGTAAGTCACACAGCCTGAAATCTGAGCATTACGAGATTGATTTTCATGTGATTTACTGCAGTATTGGACTGATTGGTACCATTTCGGTGCAAATTCTTGCACTTTGACTTGCAGCCTCTCTCTATAGTGCCCTACTGTCCAGGGTCTGCACTAGGGAGATCCCTATCACTACGCTCCAGTAGGCAGCTTAGACCAAGGGCAGCAGTACCCAGTATTCCACTCACCAGGAGTCCACTGTAGGAGATCCAGTAAGTGGAAAGTTTTAGTTTTAAATTTCTCTTATTTTAACAGCTATTTCATTTACCAATGTAGGAAATTTAGTCATTTAAAAATAGAGTAATTAACTTGCAGGATACAAGTGCAATGTAAATCACTATCTCATCAAGCAATGTTCGAAGCCCTGAACAAGCCCTGTGCTTTCTTGGGAAGGTGTTTTGGCAAGAGCAGGACAATCTGGGCTTCTGGGCTAGGATAAGTGAAACATGAGGTGTTCCTCCTGGTAAGTCCTACCCAGCTGACTAGTCACTCTGTCACCCAGACATCCTGCATCCCACTTCATCCCCCATCCCTCACCCGCCCTGAAGCCTAATGATAGCTCATGAACCTGAAATATGAAATCTCTTTCTCTCTCAACTTGCTGCCTATGACTGAGAAAGGTGGGGTGGTGGGAATAAACTAGGGGAAGGGGGGAGGGGTGAGAATGCGGTCTTAGTTTCAGATCTCTAGCATCTGCAGTTCTTTTGTATTTTTTTTAAAAACATTAATCAGAACAACAGTAAATTTACCTCTTCTTCGACTGCAGAGGCAGAGTCCTTGTCAGAAAGTCGTATTCGACATGGAAAAGCTCGGAGAATTGTCAGCACTGTCAAAACATGCACAGCTGTCAGTGGGGAACTGCACTGTAAAACTAGACTGGAACAAGATGTTACACATGAGCATCTATTCTAGCAGAATTGGATTTTCATATTTAGGCCTCAACACAGAAGCAAAAATGAGAAATGAAAGAAAGAGGAAGGAGGTTTGAGTGCAAGAGAACAGAGGGATGAAAGAAATCTGGAGGAAGCAAGAGAACAGCACAACATTTTTACTTTAATTAATTAAACAAAAAACACAAGGTATTTCTTTCAAGTAATGTGTTTAATGGCTGCCACAAACTAAAGTAAAAGCAAGTTACAGCAAAGATAGAGGTCACAAGACTACAGCAAACCAGCCATTACAGTATGTACAAGTGCAATTCTCCAATCATTTCCCTTTTTATAAAACAAAAGACAAAACAAACTTGCATGCACTATTTGCAGCACAGAGATACCCAACATACGTGGCTGACAGTGAAAATTATCATTCGTGAACAAAACCTGTGTTAATTCTAGTCAGTCCCACTTCTGTCAGTTTCTGAACATGCAGTCCATACATAATGCTTAAATCATGCGGGTCTTCTAACAGCATGCATGTGCGTTCTATCTGGTACCTGCTAATTTCTAGGGTGATGTTACTTCTCTGGGGAGTATAATTCCATGACAGGTGTTGTGCCATGGTAACTGTTGCTGGGGAACGGCAAACCTCTTGGATTGATGGCCGTCCTATACTGTGTGCAAATGGTGAGATCACACCTTCCTGATCAGTTGCCTGTGTGAAGGAACAGATGTTGCAATTCCAACAATATATCTGGTCATTTGCGTTCACCATGTAAGATTGGAGGTGTCAACTGTTCTACATAGGTCCCAAGTCTCCACACAAGCTGACTCTTGTCGAGTGCATGAATATTTGTACTCTGATTGGCGTTCCAAAGATCAGTTCAGGCAATTGTTTGGAAGTCTAATCAAAGTGAAATTTGGCTCTCTGTTCTTTCACTCTGATTTTGTCACTTTCTTGACTACTCTTTTCTTTTCCAACTCCTCTATCTTGTCTTTCAGCTTGGGTTTGAGGGAAGCTGGAAATCTCCTCAGCAGATGCTCAGCACACTCTCATCTAATCGAGATGATGTTCACCAAAACGACATACAAAATCTGTAAAAACATCTTTGTAATCTTCCAGGATCTGTTCAGCAGACAACAGCTTATTTGTCTGCGCAATGCTCCAAATCTCTTCTGACACATGTAGGATTACAATGTCCAAGCTTCAGCTGAAAGGAGTGCATTTTAATGTCTACAATCAGAAACTCCAGATCTTCATTCTTCTCATTACATAGAGCTCTCAGCTTTATTTGTTCTCTTGGCATGAAAATCATTGTACCATACGGCCTCAAATCTTACCTTCGAAGGATAGATTTTCAGGTCAACACCAAGAGCCGCTTCACACAGGTCTGCAAAGATCCTGAAGTTAACACCTGTGTCAATGTGAGCACTTCACATTTAGTTGCTGCTGACCTTCTGCAGTCATCATTCTAACGGTCACAAACTATTTAGTATTTTAGACTCGATGGATGCCAACCTGTTGTAAGATGTGCAGTGATTCAGAATGATGGCTGACAGCTCTCCAGCAGCCAATAATAAAGGCCTCCTTTGCTCCTTTTTAGCTAAACACATGCTTGCCAAGTGATTTAGTTTCTTGCAGTTAGAACATGGCTTTCCGTATGCCGGACATGCTTTCTTTTGTGGTGTCCTTTGCAATATTTATATTTTGTACTCTGCCCTTGATCCTTCTGCTGGCTTTTCTGAAAAAAAATATTTATTTTCTTCTTCCAATACGTCACACTCATTCAACGTGGAATGCCTCACAGCATAATGCAAAGTCTCAGCTGTTCCTGCATTAATACGCTTCAGATGGTGATCGACAAAGTCAGAACTTCTGCATAAATCAACAGCTTTCCTGAGAATAAATTCCTCCTCTCTCAGCAGAGCACGCTCATGGCACAATCTCATATCTACAACAATCCTCTCTCTGCACAAACTCTCAGGATACATCAGTGCTATCAGATATCAAGCAATATTTTCTCTCTCTGTCCTGAGCTCTGATGTTGAACACATACCATAAGTAACATTAATATACGGTTTGAAGTATGTCCTCAAAACGTCTCATGTCTGGGTTCTCTGCTCCATACTAAGGTTTAGGAGTGCATTATATTTGAACAGATGCCACCTGAGTTATTGCACAAGTGAGAGCTCATGGTGTGGGGTTAACATATTAGTAGGATAGAAGTTTGGCTGGCTTGCAGAAAACAATGGCTCTTTTTCTGATTGACAGGTTGTAAAGTGTAGAGTCGCACAGGGGTCTGTGCTGGGGCCTTAGCCCCATACAATTTATATCAATGACTTAGGTGAGGCAGCAAAGGGACAGTAGCTGAAAAATTAGCAATGACATGAAAATATGTAGATAGTATGTCAGGAAGAGGAATTGAGGTTGCAGACAGATATAGCTTAAGTAATATGGCAGATTGAACAACTTCACGTTTTCCCCTCATCGTATTCCATGTGGAAGAATTTAAAAAGCAGACTATTGCTTAAAAGGAAAACAACTGCAGAATTCTAGTGCATTAGTCACAGAAGTTAGTATACAAGAACAGCACATAATTAAGAAAGCTAATGGAATGCTATCCTTCATTACAGGAGGAACAGAAAGCAAAAAAAACACCAAAACAGCATTTTTGGTCTTATTTAATGATATAAATCAATTGGAGGTGATTTCTTAGATTGACAACTGGAATGAGTGGTAGCCTGATGAGGAAAGGTTAGACAGACTGGGATAATTTCCACTGGTGTTTAGAAGAGTTAAGGGTGACTACATTGTAGTGTCAAAGATCCTGATGGTCTTAAAGTGGAAGTGGAAAGGATATTTCCTCTTGTGAGTCAGTCCATAAATAAAAGGCAGTGTTTTAAAAGGACTGTACATGCTGACACCAAGGAACCATGCGTATTAGCAGCAATATCCCTTACAAATGTAACTACAAATATTTACAAATACCAATTAATGGTACTATTTTTTAAATGAAACAGGACATCAGGTCAGAGAAATAAACAAAGTACAACTTTTATTTTAAATTTCAAAAATCAACTTAATATTGTGCACCTGTGCAGGCAGCAATAACCAGCATTGCATCAGTTACAAATCCCAATTAATGATTTACAATTTTAATGAATGACTATACGGTGAGTTTAGTCAAAGTGTGAAACCAAGTACAACTCTTTATGTAGTACAACATCTTAATGGTTAATAATCCTCTTAATATTGGGCACATGGTGCATTAGTATCAACAAAGAAATCTGTGTAAAATTAGTGGTTACCCTTTCAGGACAGAGATGAGGAGAATTTTCTTCTCTTAGAGAGCTGTATGATTTTGAAACACCTTGCCTCAGAAAGGATTGGAGTAGGACCATTGACTATTTTAAGGTAGAGGTATGTTGATTCTAATTTGGCAGGAAATCAAAAGGGTAAACGTGGAATTTGAAACACATACAGAACAGCCATGACCTTTCTGAATGGCGCACCAGGCTGAAGAGACCCGATGATCTATTTTTGCTCCTAATTTATATACGTTAACAGACAGCTCATGCCACTCTTTACCCACATGATACCAAACTGGGGATGACAGTTAAGCCTGAGGAAGAATAGGTTTTACCTAAAACAGAAAACGATGGTTGTGCTATTGGATGTCAATCAGCTCAGCTCCAGGACATCTCCATGGGCGTTCCTCAGAGTTGATTCCAAGGCACAACCATCTTTAGCTGTTTCATCAATGTCTTTCCCTTCATCACAAGGTCAGAAGTAGAGACATTCAATGGGTGCACAGTGGTTGGAACCATTCACGACGACTCCTCATGGTAGGTACTGAAGCAGTCCATGTCCAAATGCAGCAAGACCTGCTCAATACCTAATACTGACAATTGGCAAGTAACATTCAAACCACACAAGTACCAGCCAGTAACCATCTCTAACATCGTGTGACAATTGTCCCTTGACACTCAATGGAATTAATGTCACGGAATCCCCCCCACTATCAACATCCTGGGTGTTACCATTGAACAGAAACTGAACTGGCCTAGCCACATGCTGACACTGTGTCTGTATGAAGAGGTTAGAGGTTAGGAATGCTGCAGCAAGTAACTCACCTCCTGAGTCTCCAAAACAGAAGTTGCCAGAAAAGCTCAGCAGGAAACACAGATGCTGCCAGACCTGCTGAGCTTTTCCAGCAACTTTTGTTTTGTTTCCTGGTTTACAGCATCAGCAGTTCTTTTGTTTTTTCATTCCCGAGGCTCCAAACCCTGTTCACCATCTACAAGGCACTAGTGATGAGTGTAATAGAATACTTCCCGCCAACCTAGATAAGTGCAGCTCCAACAACACTCAAGAAGCTTGACACCATCCAGAACAAAAAGCAGCTCACTTGACTGGCACTACCAACAACATTCACTCCCTCTACCACAGTAGCAGTGGTGTGCATCATCTACAAAATTCACCCAATGTCTTTAGGCAGCACCTTCCAAGACTAGTGCCATTTAGTAAGACAAGGGCAGCGAATTCATGCAAGTTCCCCTGCAAGCCCCACACCATCAGACTCAGAAATACATCACCTTCCTTCACTGTTGCTGAGTCAAAACCCATGAATTTCCTCCCTCCTGGTAATACAGGTGTACCTACACATGGAGGACTGCATCAGTTCAAGGTGACAGCTCTCTATCACCTTCTCCGGGGCAATTAGGGATGAACAATAAACGCTGGCCTTTCCAATGATACCCACGTCACATGGACAAATTTAAAAAAAAAAACTAGATGTGACACACTTCTAAAAGACAATAGCAACCTTACAGATAGGTGTGAGGTGATGCATTTGGTCAGGGAAAAAAAAACAAAACACCTACTCCTTAGAATTTTAGAAACTGAATTGTGTCGACGAGCACATGGGCTTTGTGTCGACACTATGGCTTTAAGAGGTGTACTTTGTCCTGGTTTTTCTTTCTGAAGAGAGGTTGAGACAGAGGAGCCAAGCAGTCTGCTCAAAGCCAGTAAACAACTTGTAAGGCTTTGGGTATTTTAAAAAAACGTTGGAACAATAGAAGAAGTACGAAGGGGTGGGATCAAGCTCACACAGAACCAGGAATTTGGTTTTGCTTTCAGTAACTGTTGGGATTTGAAATTTGCTAAACATCTCTCCCTGCTACAGCAAAACACTTGAGTTCTGTCTCAAAGTTTTCTCATGATGTTCTTTTCTCCTAGACTGGAGAAAATGTTGCATGTAGGATCATCTATTTTACTGGATTTTCCTTTGCCAAGGGTGGGTTTATGGGATATAACCATCTTGGAACAGCTAATCAGTGGTAGTTAACATATATATTGTCTTGTTAAGTATTTCAACAGAATTACAGCCAAGTTTTTTTTTAATTATTATTTTGTCAGTATTTTAACAAGAGTGTAAGAATAAAGTGTGTTTTGCTTCAAGCAATCGAATTGCATCCGAAACACAATGCCTCACACTTACCTTTAAAAGTAAGAAGAAGTTCAAGTCTAAGCTATCTTCTTAATATATTTTGAGGGAGTTTGGTCTGGTCCATAACAGGTTCAAGGGGGTACAGGTGAACAAATCATTAAAAACATTAAATTCCTCCAGCTCCACATGGTGTTATCTCATTACATACAATGTTGCAAGTCAGCAAAGCAAATACAAGTGTTGACAAATTACACACAGATTTAACTTTCCAATTGTATACCACTAGAAATAATGAAATTATATTAATCATGTACTGCATCCCAGTCAATCCACCTCATGAGCACACACAGTTCTGGTCTCCACAATGTAAAAAGGACACAGAACCTCTGGAAAAATGTTGAAAAGATTTATAACATAGTAGCAGAACAGATATTTTCAGCTAACAGGAAGGACTGCACAGAATAGCATATTTTTGGCCTTTTACAAAAGGGAAAACCTAGAGGTGGCCCAATTTAACATTACGGTTAATATTATGTATTGGTTGAGTAGGGTAAGTGTGGAAAAGATTATTTCTACTCATGGAGCATCGGAAACCGAAACCATAAATACAACAGAGTGACTGAAAATCTAAATCAGGGAATGAGACACTACTCATTTCCACATGGGAAATATTCCACAATTGAGAAGGAGACCTTGAGTTTGGTGTCAGCATTACAACATTTATGTTGCCAGTAATGTGTCTGAGACAATTGTATATACTGACCATAACCCCTCAAAGTTTTTGGAAAAAAATTTAAGGATAAAAATTCCAGACTACTTAGACAGAGCTTATTATTGCAGCCATTCAATTTGAAGACTAGATTATTTCAAAAGGAAACTAGGCTTATGCACGAGAGAAAAAGGAATAGAAAAGGTATGTTGAAAAACTGAGATGATGCAGACAGACCAGAAGGAGGCTCATGGAGTTTAAACAAACATCTGGAGAGCTAGGTTGGGTCAAAGTGCCTCTCTATATATACAGTCCTATGGAAAACTTTCAAATGGCAATTAAATGGATAAATTTAATAATAATGTGAAATGTGTTGCTTATTGTTGTTGGTACACTTGTCCAGCTCTACACAGCATCATACCAATAGGTTATACTGATCTATTGCATTCATTGTACACAGGGAAGAATAATGAAATACTCACACTGTGTGCTTGTGTCCCACCTCCCTCCGAGGTAGCCCACTACCTCACTGGTGGTCAGGTGGCAATGAAAATCCTAAAGGATAAGAAAAGCTTTAAAAGAACAGGAATAATGGTAGACAGAACTCAATACCAAAACTTCAGCATTTTCAAAACAAAATCAAAGTAATTTTTTCTTGCATTATTTTCAAATTCAGGTCTGACATTGTGGAAAATATCCAAAATTAACTTTTCCTCTTTCTCTTATCTATTAGATATTGCTCTTTCACGCTATCCTCTTTAACACCTCCTAAGCTGTGATAACAATTTGCATTCATCCACAAAAAGAACATTCAGAACATTTTATGACAGGGAAGCACGTGCACAAAGCAGGTTAGGGGATGGATTAAGAAGCAGTACCGAAATATACAATAACCTTTGAAGAAATTGAGGAAGAGATAGCAAGGCAAATGATTCAGTGCCAATCGCTGGAGACTAATTTGCTGATCACTACAATGGTAAAGCAGAGAAAAGATGGATGGTCAGTAACAAACCAGAAGTTCACCATCTGGCTAAGACAGGCAGCTGGAAATTGTTCAGATAAGATAGACCAGGACCACTGAAGAATTTAGCGATATGAGCTGTTCAACGCAACCTTACTCCTTTCTGACTCCGCACTGTTATTCATTAATTGAAACAGCTCCTACTCTTTTGCCATCACAGGATCACAAAATGTAAAAAAACAAATAGTCTCTGACAAAGGGAGGCAATGGCATAATGATATTATCGCTGGACTATTAATCCAGAAACCCAGGGAATGTCCTGGGGACCCAGGTTCCAATTCTACCATGGCAGATGATGGAATTTGAATCCAATAAAAATCTGGAATTAAGGGTCAAATAATGACCATGAATCCCTAGTCGATAGTTAGAAAAACCCATCTGGATCACTAATGTCCTTTAGGGAAGGAAACTGGTATCTTTACCTGGTCTGGCCTACATGTGACTCTAGACCCACAGCAATGCAGTTGACTCTTAACTGCCCTCTGGGCAAATAGGGAGTTCCACCCTCATCCGTGAGTGAATTTAAAAAAAAAATGAACCGTCTTCTGTCGGTTGGAGAGAGACCAACATTGGTTGAGGCTCGAGGACTAAATGCATATTAGCCCTCTTCATCAGGGAATGGTAGATAGCGCAAGTGAAGGAAGGGTTAAGAAAATAAACACTTTGAATAAATGTTTTCTATGTTCAAAAATCACTCACTACTAGAAGCAGCACATTGCTTGATATGGCAACGTTAAAGGGCTGAAATTTATTCACAGAGGTGAATGATGTCAGTTCAACAAGCGTATGAGGATCCCTGCAACAAAACAAGGAAAACATGTTAGTACTACACACACACACACACACACACACACACACACACACAATGTTGGAATGGATTTCAGCAAAACAGTATATTTGGGAACTGAAAGACCCTTATGGGGTACACCAGATGTAATTTACCATACATCAAGCCTTGATCAAGAAAGGCTGACTACATTCGGGTAACACCTTTCTTGAGCTCAAGACATCCTAAAAAAAAAAGTTTTATGTGCACCGAGCTACATTTGAAAAATAATAACTGCCATAAGAAATGTAGTGAAATAACTCCATGAAGGCTGGTATCCTGTCACCAAGTCGTCCTTTTCTTTAAACACGGGCACAGTATATGACCCAGCTAGCTCAGAGCCGCCTCCTAGATTGAACAGAATCACTGACACTCCTATTTATACCTGTCAGAGATAGTAGGAACTGCAGATGCTGGAGAATCTGAGACAACAAGATGTAGAGCTGGACGAACACATCAGGTCAAGCAGCATCAGAAGAGCAGGAAAGCTGACGTTTTGGGCCTAGACCCTTCGCCCAATGTCAGCTTTCCTGCTCCTCTGATGCTGCTTGACCTGCTGTGTTCATCCAGCTCTACACCTTGTTATCTTATATCTGTCAGCCAGGTCTCCCTGATTGGACCAGATTAAACAGCCCCAATCAGGGAACTCATTCTAGGAGGTCCACCAGGCTGAGCTCGTTCCAATCACTACATGTAGTAGCTAATTTGTGCGCAGCTCGAAAATAGCAAAAAGTAATGGTCAGGTAATCTACTCATACTGATTAAGGTACAAATGTTAGCTTACATACTGGGAAGAATTGCCCTGTTCTTCTTTCAGTATTGCTTGGCAATCTTCTGCCTACACTGCAGAGAGTGGACAGTACTCCAGTTTAACATCGCATCTGAAGTAGAGCTGAGGCTGAACTGGATGCTCACATCTTCACTTCAGCATGAACATCTCTCAAATGAGTGAGTACCAAACTGGATAAATGATTTACATCATTAATCCTAGACTTTCCCAAATCTATCTGAAAGTAAACCTTTATGTCCCTCAGCTATGTAGAGCAGGAAGCTCACATTTGCTCAGTCTGCACTGCATTTGTAAATCTCACACGCGACAGTGAGGCAACGTTACACACTCAAGTTATTTACCACAATTCTAGTTTCCAAATGCTTATCTTGCCTTGTGCTAGAAACTGTATGTATGGACAAAGTGAGACAGAAAACAATAGAAGCTTGACTTTGATGCTGAAGTCCACAAAAATAACTGCATTCCCTCCTGTTTATTTTCCCACCCTCCAGTTAATCTTTGGAGGCAGAATCTGCAGCCTCAGCAGCTTCTATTCTGAAACTTTTTTCTTGTTCACTCACCTCGCCTTCTAGATTTGGAAAGCTTCTCCAAAACCCATTCTTTGGCCGAATTATCATCACATCTAACTCTCCTAAAGGAATCCATGCCCACTTTATCTCTGGTCTGTGCAGCACCAAGGGATATTTATTAATGAAGACACATTCCACATGCAGCAACACTCAGAGTACGCTCAATTGGGTATAGTTCCAAGAGGCACCATGGAACTGTACACCAGAGCAGAGCAGGGGTTCTCACACCATAAATTGCATACCCCATAGGGATATAGAGTCAGAAACTGGAGTAGTACAATGGGTGGGAAAAGAGCAAATGAGTTGTGATGTCCAATCACTGCCTTCACCATTGCCTGCCACGCATGTACTTTTTCTGTCCCCAGTTCACTGGGAGGCAGATGTAACTTCATATCAGAGTCACATCAACCAACAGAAACCCCAACTGGAAAACCAGAGTAGAACAGGGAGGTCACCCTGCCATTGTAGGGTTGGGTTAGCAAGGTGGGGAACAGGAAAGGGCTCCTGTGCAGAAATTGCCAGGATTCTATTTACCAATGCTTCTGATTTGAGAGTTATTTTGATAATTGTTAACAATGCTTTACCAACACCATTTAAGTAGAGCTTCTGTCTCCAGCAGCAAGCCTTCTGGCTCTCACGCAAATGTAAAACAAGACAAGAAACATGTTTGCAAATATGAAGCTTGTAGTCTCGTGAAACCTTTCACAAATGTTTTTGGCAAATCTGAAGAAAGGCCAAAATACCTCATGTCTCCAACTGCTGTAGAGTAAAAGCAAGAAGCCAATAAACTTGTGACACTTGGAGACCATTCACAAAGAGTACATCACAAAGCCACCATGGTCTTCCAATCAGAGTAATTACGCTGCACGCCAAAATGGCCACTGGTGAATGTGCAGATGGAGCCAGTTACATCACTTTGCGACAACACTATCTTCTTCATGTAGGTGCAGAGACTGTTAAACCTCACTGAGTTGGTGCAGTGGAAAATCAAGCCTCGAACAGTTAAAGATTTTTAAGAATACGCAGAATTTCCCTGACGTTCAGACCCAGGTCGACAGAAAGCGTGAACCAGGTTCCTGTACTTAACAAAAATTACTATTTATTGCAAGTAACTAGATTCCAGCTACGGGCAAACAAACAAAAACCATCAGCATATAACTCCACTAGTCAAAATGTTAATCTCCTTGGAGATTCCCCCTTAGATAGAGACAGGGAACAAAAAAAAAGTGTTATGAGCATGAAAGAGTAGTTCAGCAGTTTCTGTTCACAAGATCTGCCAAGATCTAGTGTTGATCAGAACTGTGCTTCTCACTCTTCCTTCTGTGGATAGTCTCGCTGGTTTTCTGAGGTGCAGAGTGATTGGTTCACACTTATAAAAGGTCTCCAACTTTATTTAATTAAAAGTCACAGTTTACAGGTTCTATAGGGAAAATAAACTGGTTTTCTTCAGATGCAAATGGCTTTTACTGCAGAGACAGAGATCTACTGAGCTTGTAGAGATCCAATGGTTTCTTTGTATCTTGTCCACTGCTCTAAGCTATTTAGCTACCTGAGAATCAATCTCACAGTTGTGAGCAGGCAGCGGGACTGTGTCATCGATAACAGGTCAAATAATCCACAGCTACTTGTTGCCTGGCTGAGTCTCCACTTGCACACAACCTGGTCTGAACCTTCTCCTACTATTGCTTCAACCAGCAGCTGTGTAAGAACAGCCCTTACGACGGGTGTGAGATTACTTGCTTTCAAAAACATGCAGTAACCCTACAGCAATCCTTGGCTTTAGAACAGTTATTTTGCCATTTCAGTGCAGTGGGTCAATGATTAGCACTGCTGCCTCACAGCGCCAGGGACCTGGATTTGATTCCAGCCCTAGGCGCCTGTCTGTGTGAAGTGTGCACATTCTCCCCATGTCTGTGGGTTTCCTCCAGGTGCTCCAGTTTCCTCCCACAGTCCAAAGATGTGCAGGTAAGATGGATTAACCATGGGAAATGAGGGGTTACAGGGATAGAGTACAGGGGTGGGTCTGGGTGGCATGGTCTTCAGGGGGTCGGTATGGACTTGATGGGCTGAATGGCCTTCTTCCACACTATTGCAAGTCTATGATTTCAGTTTGCAATTAAAATACAGAAAAATAAAATGACAAAGTCTTTACAATAGCGTGGACAGTCTGTTAAACTGACTGTGACAAGTTTTCCTTCTGTTGCACATTGAGATGGATTGGGATATGTTGGACAGGAAATCATCATCGGGGATCCCTCGGAGACGAGGATGATTGTCTTCCACTCTCAGGGCGAATGTGTAGGCTCTGTTACACTTGGGGCAGATGGTGCTTACGGCAAGGGGTGGGCGGCGGGTTGGTGTGGCAGCGCGCACCTTATGCGGTTTTCACTTGGCTTCCGCTTTTTCTTAAACAGCAAGTCTCGTGGTGCTCAACACCCTCCGAGATGCTCCTCCTCCACTTTGGAGTGTCTTCATCAGTGATTCCCAGGTATCTGTGGGAATACAACACTTTGCTAGTGAGGCCTGCAGGGTATCATCAAAGCACTATCCACCTGGGACTCCTCTGCGGTTTGTTTTGGAGCTGCGAGTAGAGCACCTGTTTGGGGAGTCTTGAGTCGGTCATGCAGACCATGTGCCCAGCCTATTGTAGCCAATCAAGGATGGTCAGTGCCTTGAGGCTGGGAATGTTGGCCTGGTAAAGGACACTGGTGTTGGCGTGTCTCTCTTCCCAATGGATTCGCAGGATCTTGCGCAAGCAGCATTGGTGGTATTGCTCCAGTGCCTTGAGATGTCTGCTGTAGACCGTCCATGTCTCAGCCACATAGATTGGCCAAAGCCGCCACAGCTCTGTAAACCATAATCTTGGTGTCAGATCTGATGGTGTTGTCCTCAAACATCTTTTCCTCAGGCGGCCAAAGGCTGCACTAGCACGCTGGAGGTGGTGCTGGATCTCTTCATCAATAGCTGCTTTGGCCAACAGGACACTCCCAAGGTGTTGGAAGTGGTCAACATATTCTCCAAAGACTTCCCGTGGAACTTGATGGTCGGGGTGTTCACTCCACAATGCCGGGCCAGGTTGGTGGACCACCTTTGTCTTGCGGATGGACAGGAAATACTTTATTAAATACACAGAGCAGAAACCCATTAATCTGATCAGAGATCATTCACAGACTATGGTGTATAGTCAGTCCATTTTCTGGATCAGTATGTACAGCAACTAAGACAGTCTGAGTAAAATCAGGGAGTTGTTGGTTTGTGCGAACAAATTTCTGAGAAATCCTTTCAAAGTTCTAAATTTCATGTTGAAATCTTTTAAATATCATCACAGCTTAAAGTCAAACGTCCACTGATTTCAGTGAGCCAGTGCTCAGGAATTTGACTCCACCCTGTTCTGTGACTATATGGGCAGCATCATCTTTGTTCTAGATAACACAGTGTGGAGCTGGAGAAACACAGCAGGCTAGGCAGCACCAGAGGGGCAGGAAAGCTGATGTTTCGGGTTGGAACCCTTCTTCAGATTTCTGAAGAAGGGTCCCGACCTGAAACGTCAACTTTCCTGCTCCGCTGATGCTGCCTGACCTGCTGTGTTCATCCAGCTCCACACTGTCTTGTCTGACTCCAGCATCTGCAGTTCTTGCTATCTCCGAGCCATCTGTGTTCTAGGCAGCTGCCATTCCAATACCAAGCTATGCTTGTGTGCCATCATTGCTCCACCTAGTGGTGGCATATAAAATAAATGTGCCCTTCACCAATAATAAAGAAAGAGAGAGAATCTGTCACAGCAGCAAGTTCAAGTTTAGTTGGGCTTTATACATCACTGAACAAACTCAAAAAACATCACAGCGTGAAACAACAGAGTGCATGGGAGAAGCAGCCTCAGGATTATAGAAACTTTGATCTAATCTGCTGTATTCAACATGACTAAAATTGTAAATGGGAAGTAAAGTAAACAACTTAAAGCTGCTTGCATCTGAAACAACACCTTGAGATAAAGAATATAAACAATGGTAGAGAATCTGGAAACCATGCTGACGGAGCACTTGAAATGCATCCCATCCTTGCTTTTCAAATTGATTTGACACTGACAGGCTCATATAGGCCTTTGTGCACTACATGACATAACCGTCATGGGTGGCTCAGTGGTTAGCACTGCTGCTTCACAGCACCAGGGACCCAGGTTCGATTCCATCCTCGGTGAATGTCTGTGTGGAGTTTGCACATTCTCCCCATGTCTGCGTGGGTTTCCTCCCAGTGCTCCGGTTTCCTCCACAGTCCAAAGATGTGCAGGTTCGGTGGATTGACCATGCTAAATTGCCCATAGTGTTCAGGGATGTGTAGATTAGGTGAATTACAGGGGGATGGGTCTGAGGGGGATGCTCTGAGGTTCGGTGTGGACTTGTTGGGCCAAAGGGCCTGTTTCCACACTGTGGAGATTCTATGACCTATGAACAGTGTGCTTAAAGACATTCTGCTCTGTCTCCTGACTATGAATTGGCAGAAGGAATTTTCAGCATGTTACAGGGTTACATGAAGGAATAAAAGATTCCTTGGCTGACATGGTTGGATTTTGTACTCATGTGCCCTAGGGCGAACAGACTTGCTCCATCTGGTTGCTGTTTGGACTCTCTGTACAATTCAGAGTGAACAACGCACAGAACTAGGCAGAATACTGCAGTCAGTCACTTCAAATTGTGAAGTGTAGCAAATCTCACCCTTTTGTGCATGTTTTTTTGAAAAGTTGTGCAAAGACTTAGGATCTGATCGTGATGCGCTATTGCGTGAGATCAGTACATGCTCATGAGGAAAGCTACTGCAAAGATATTTTGAACTGAGGCATCAGGTGTTTGTATTTTTAGTGCACTGCAAACAAAAAAAGGGAATTTTGTTGAATTATACCTGTGACAAAAACAATATTTGCTTCTGTCACAGGCATATTCAGGAAACTAAATGAGCTGAATTCAAATATGCAAGGCAAGAACATGTTTGAACCAATTGCACCATGACGTTTGTGAAGAAAATTAAATTTTTAATATGCTCAAGGTGAATTTGTTTTTAATTCATTCACGGGATGAAGGGCATCACTGGCTAGGCAGCATTCATTGTCCATCCCTAATTGCCCAGAGGGCAGATAAGAGTCAACCACATTGCTGTGGGTCTGGAGTTACATGTAGGCCAGACCAGGGAAGGATGGCAGTTTCCTTCCCTAAAGGACATTAGTGAACCAGATGGGTTTTCCCCTGAAATTCGACAATGGATTCGTGATCATCGTTAGATTTTTAATTCCAGGTATTTATTGAATTCAAATTCCACCATCTGCCGTGGCAGGATTCAAATCCAGGTCGCCAGAACATTATCTGGGTCTCTGGATTAACAGTCCAACGATAATGTCTTTAGGCCATCGCCTCCCCATGGGAGACTCACTCCTGCAGCTTTCCTTGCTTCTGTCCAACAATTAGAGTGATCTGATGATTGATCATCCGAACCACCCAAAGCTATATATTCCTTCCCTGTTTTGGGCATTTGATTAGGTCCACAATCCCTGTGAGTGTCAGCCCGACGATATGGATTTAGCCACATCTGAAACTGAACCCTTTACTGAAATTTCATGATTTCAACTTCTACAAAAAAAATGCAACACTTTCTGCACTGTAGAGATTCCATGATTCTATGAATTCTGGATTCACTACACCACACACAATGAAATTCGTGGTTCCTTTTGCAAGCACACGTTTGCATGAAGCTGTAAAACATCAAGTTTCAAATTGTTCACCCTGGATGCTACATCAGAGATTAGATGTACAGTATCCACCACACTGTGGAGATTCTGACAGACTGTTTTGCAAAAACATACATTTCATCATGCAAGTACACAGAAACATTTTACAAGTATTTACAAAATATTAAAATGCAGTCAACACTGGAAAATGGTTTGGGAAGCACTAATCCAGAGAGTCAAGCCTTTACGATGGAAATCTCAATTATACTATTACATTAATTATCAACTGAAAACTAGACCTCAAACAAGATAAATTCAACACCAACCTTCCTGGGTCTCTGCTCCCGATCACAGAGTACTGAACTGGGCCAAGGTCTTTGTTACGAGCTTTTATTATGCTGTGTCCATTGTCTTAAGGGTAAAAACATATCTCAGTTAAGACCAGAAAAATGTGCAAGTGACAATTCAATAACATACTGTTACAGCTTCAACATCCTCATTTGCATTCTACCCACAGTGATATCACAAATCAGCAGCTGTGTCATTAGAATAGTACAGAGCCACTTCACCTGCTGGCTTGCCAGCTCTGACATACAGTGACTATTTTAGAAGCGTTTTCACTCGAGCAGGTCAGCAAGGGGTCAAGCAACAGATAAAGAGCAGCCTGTGTCATTCACTTCTACCCCACTGCTCTCAAGACACCAAATAACGTTCATGCTACACAAATGCCAGGCAATGACCACCTACAACAAGACAGAATCTACTGCCTCAAAATTTAATGGTATTACCATTGCTAAACAACCCCCCTAGGAACACACTGGAGGTTACGATTGATCATAAACAGGTCTGGACTGGCCGTACAAAAATACAGTGGCTACAAGAGCAGGTCAGATGCAAAGATTGTGACCTCAGATGCCCTCTGTCCCCAGGAGCCCAGAGAGAAGAACCTATTACATATAGATTGGTATGGTTTCCACCAGTAACGAGAAAAGACCCCATTGAATATTACTGTCAAGCCCATTGCTCCCAATGAAACTTGGGATCAGACTCCACTCAATGTATGAGCATTGGCCTGATTTGGAAAACTAGGTTTGCAAGTGGCATCACACTGAAAAGGATTCAAACAATAGGAAAGACTTGCTGCCTATGTCTAGAATTTATTCTAGACGAATACAAGATCTAGAAGAACTCTGCTTGGGATGTTCACGTCCACAAATAACTGGAGGTGATTATGAGCCCAATTTCAACTCACTCAAAATCCATTCATGAACGGGGATTACATTGGGCCCAATTAAATCTGTACAAAAGTACTGGTATGGGCATGCACACAATAACGTATACAATTCCAGTCTGCTACCTACTGAAAGGAGACCAGATCTCTGGAATTACAGGCAGTCTCCAGCTGTTTTACCTAAACTCTCCCCAGTGCCACAGGGCAAGAGGTGAACACACCTCCATCTACAGGGATAGAGCACATCAGGACATCCCCACAGCCATTGAAATATCCTTTAAACATTACACACAAGTGTATACTTTTCATTAGTATATACTGCATCCACTCTGCGTTCCTCTAAAAGAAAAACAAATTAGAGCAAACAGCAAAATACTTTAAAACAATAATAAAAGAGATATGCTACCCATCAGGCTACAGTCTTGAGAGCTTTTAGCTTGTAGTTTCTTGCTTTTCTCTTCCACTTTCTTGACCTGATTATCTGATTTAGGGATCTTTTTGCTATGATTTTCAAAGTCTTCCTCTTCAGGAATTTCGTCATCTTCCTCACTGGCCAAATTCTGTGTGGGAAAGAATACTATTAACTTACTGTTTCACCCAGGATCTGAAAATCTACTGTCAAATTTTCATCAATTCAATCTTCCTGAAGACGTTAGCTCTATGCCTTTGTAAACCGCAGGCAAGCCCTAGCATCTCATTCTTTCAATAACCCCAATTCTGCTGTCATTCAAGAGCAACAAGGACCACGTATGTCTACACATCCACTTCCAAGCACAGGAATCACTTTAGTAATCAGGAGCAGGAGTGCTGGACAAGATTCCTCCCAATTCCAGCACAGGTATACTGAAGACAGCAGAGATCACAGATTGCAAGTGGAACTAGGGCCCACTCAGATGGCCTAGCTCAGTGATACACACAGCTGTGTTTTCATCCAACAAAGCTTCGAAGGATAAGTTTGACAACAACGAGTAGATCCAGCAAACATGATGCACATCTTTATCACAATCAAAAGCTGGCAATAGCCATTCAAACAGATTATTCTGTAGAAGTGATTTAAAGACTTGATGACATTTACTGGAATACTAATTCTGGAATGTCCTCAGATACGCCATACCAGGAAAACAATAAAATTAACATCTGCTACAAATAAGCAAAAGAGATTATGGTCTCCTTGCCACAACACTTTAACACTGTGCAATTTCTTTCTGACAACTGAGTAAATCACACTTTCTGCAATCACTCCCAAGTCAGATACAGCCCAAAATAACGTGTTGGACCACTGCTTTTTGTCATTTATTTAAACGATTTGGATGTGAACATTGGAAGTATGGTTAGTAAGTTTGCAGCTAACATCAAAACTGGAGGTGTAGCAGATAGCCAAGAAGGTTACCTCAGAGTACAACAGGATCTTGATCAGATGGGCGAATGGGCCTTGGAGAGGCAGAAGGAGTCTAATTTAGATAAATGTGAGGTGCTGCATTTAGGAAAGGCAAATCAGAGCAGGACTTATACATTTAATGGTAAGGTCCTGTGGCATGTTGCTGAACAAAGAGACCTTGGAGTACAGGTTCATAATTCCTTGAAAGTGGAGGCACAAGTAAATAGGAAAGTGAAGGCTGCATTTGGTATGGTTGTCTTTATTGGACAGTGCATTGAGTATTGGAGTTGGAAAATCATGTTGTTGCTGCTGCACAGGACATTGGTTAGGCCACTATTGGAATACTGTGTGCAATTCTGGTCACTCTGCTATAGGAAGGATGTTGTAAAACTTGAAAGGGTTCAGGCAAGATTTACAACAATGTTGCCAGGGTTGGAGGGTTTGAGCTACAGGGAGAGGCTGAACAGTCTGGGGCTGTTTTTCCTGGAGTGTCAGAAGCTGAGGGGTGACCTTATAGAGGTTTGTAAAATCATGAGGGGCACAGATAAGGTGAATAGTCAAGGTCTTTTCCCCAGGGTGGGGGAGTCCAGAATTAGAGGGCATAGGTTTAAGGTGAGAGGGGAAAGATTTAAAAGGGACTGAAGGGGCAACATTTTCAAGCAGAGAGTGTGGTGCACATATGGAATGAGCTGCCAGGAGAAGTGGTGGAGAATGGTACAATTACAACATTTAAAAAGTTATCTAGATGGTTATATGAATAAGAAGGGTTTAGGGGAATATAGGCCAAATGCTGGCAAATGGGACTAGGTTTATCTAGGATATCTGGTCAGCATGGACGAGTTGGACCAAAGGGTCTGTTTCCGTGCCATACGTCTCTATGCCCATGTATAGAAAGTACAGGGGTGAAGTAAAAATTAGGAAGACAGAGAGGATATGACAAAGCTACGGACTGATAAAATTAAGGGAAATCCAAGGATGCTTTATCAACACATTAAGAGCAAAGAAAGGGCTGGGCCTATCAGAAATGTGCACGGTAAGTTATACATGGATGCAGAAGATGTGGGCAGGAATGAGTATGTTATCTGTCTTCAAAAAGGAGAAGGATGGTGCAGGCATTCAAGAGGAGGAGTGTGAAATATTATATAAAATAAGCATAATGAGAAGGGAAATACGGGGGACATTGACCTCCATAAAGGTAGATAAATGACCACGGCCAGATGAATTGTCTCCTAGGCTTATAATCTTTACTCGATACAGGTGAGATACCAGAGGTTGACAGGTCTACAAATGTAGTATCATTGTTCAAAAAGGGATATGAGGGATAGGCCAAATAATTATAGATGGGTCAATCTGACCTCAGTGGTGGGCAAATTACTAGACACAATACTGAGAGATATGATTAACTGCTGCTTAGAAAAGCAGAGAGTAGTCACAAATAAGTCAGCATGGTTTTCTTAAGGGAAAGTTGTGTCTTACTAACTTCATTGAACTTTTTGAGGGAGGAACAAGGAGGATTAATGAGAGTAGTGCAATGGATGTTGTCAAATGCTTTACTGAAATCCATGTAGACCAGGTCCCACATGCAGAAAATTCAAAGCCCATGGAATACAGACAAATCTAACGAGTTGGATCCACACTTTGTCCATTGACAGGAAACAAGGGAAATGATAAATGGATATTTTTGCAAATGGAAAGTTTTTAAAAGTGGTGTTCCACAGGGCTCAGTATTGGGTCCCTTGCTGTTCTTGGTACATATTAATGGTTTAGACTGACATGTTGGAAACATGATTGGGTAACTTACAACTGACACAAAAATTGGCCGTTTACTGCAGGATAACACCAAATGGTTGGTTGACAGGACGGAAAATGGCAAGTTAAATTCAATTTGGAGAAGTGCAAAGTTATGCTAGGTGAGGGCAAACAAAGCAAGAGAATATACAATAAACTCGTGGGTAATGAGAAGGGTAGAAGTGTGAGACCTTAATGTGCAGGAGAAGAGGTAACGTCATACAGATGTTGACTGTAAAAGCAGGGATATAATATCGGAACTAGAGAAGATACTGGTTAGACCACACCTGGAGTTTTAGGTGTGGTTCTGGTCACATTAAAGGAAAAACATAGTTGCTCTAGAAAGAGTACAGAGGATATTTACAAGTATGTTGCCAGGGCTTGAAAATTGCAGCTAAGAGGAAAGATTGTATAAGTTATAATTGTTTTCCTTCAAACAGAGGACTTAAAGTGTACAGAATAATGAGAGGATTGGAGACATCAATCACCCCGGGCACAGATTCCAGGTGACTGCCAACAGGATTAGAGAGGATGGGGAAAAAGGTCTTTCCTCACGAGTTGGCAGTGGGAAAGGGAATTCATTGTCCAGTTCAGTGGTTGAGACAGATACTCTTAATTCATTTGAAAAGAATCTGAATCTGCCCCTTAAGCACTGTAACCTGCAAGGCTACTGGTAGGTGCTGGAAAGTGGAATTTAAATAGGCAGCTATTGTATTCAGCTGGTGCAGACACAACAGGCTGAATGGCCTTTTTCTGAGCCATAACCTTTCTATTGATCCATTTGTTCCACAAATGCTGACTGACTGATCGAATATTATCTGGGGTTTACTCCAGCTTTCCAGCATTTCTGTTTCTAATTATCTTTTAATTCTATATTGAACTTGCTTTGGCCTCCACAATTTTAGTTAAAGCTTCTATAAATGAGGAACTGGACTGAGTTTGCCAAAACTCTTAAAACAGGATGGCAGAGGCTGATGTGGGCTGGACCTGAACCCATTTAGCCTCCAATGGTGTCTTTTTTAAAAGAATGCTTTCATGGGATGTGCGCGCCACTTGTAAGATGAGCATCTGTTGGCAATGTAGAGTCATAGGGTTGTACAGCAAGGAAACAAATCCTTCAGTCCAACTCATCCATGCCAATCAGCTACGCTCAATTAATCTAGTCCCATTTGCCAACACTTGGCCCATATCACTCTAAACCCCAATTATTCATGTACTTATCCAGATGCCTTTTACATGTTGTAATTGTACCAGCCTCCACCAATTCCTCTGGCAGCTCATTCTATACACATACTAGCATCTGCATGAAAAAGGTGCCCCTTAGGTCCCTTTTGAATTTCCCTACCCTGGGAAAAAGACCTTGGCTATTTACCCTATCCGTGTCCCTCAAGATTTTAAGCGCCTCTTTAAGGTCACCCCTCAGCCTCTGACATTCCAGGGAAAATAGCCCCAGCCAATTCAGCCTCTCCCTACAGCTCAAACCCTCCAACCCTGGCAACATCCTTACAAATCTTTTCTGCACCTTTTCAAGTTTAACAGCATCCTTCCTATAGCAGGGAGACCAGAATTAAACACAGTATTCTAAAAGTGGCCTCACCAAATGTCCTGTACCGCCACAACATGACATTCCAACTCCTTTACTCAAAGCTCTAACCAATAAAGGCAAGTGTACCAAACACCTTCTTCACTACCCTGTCTACCTGTGACTCCACCTTCAAGGAACTATGAACCTCTGTCCCAAAACCTCTGTTTGGCAACACTCCCTAGGACCTCTAATTGACTTTGAACTGAGTGGCTTACTAGGTCATTTTAGAGGAAAGTTCAGAGTCAATCACATTGTTATGGGTCTGGAGACACATGTCAGCTGGACCAGGAAAGAATGGCTGATTTCCTTCCCTGAAGGGCGTTAGTGAACCAGACGTGTTTTTTTTCGCAAAAAAGCACACATATCTGATGAACTTTGTCATGGTCTCCATTATGGAGAATGGCTTTATATCCCAGACTTAAAATTTCAATTTAGATTTGTCCGGCTGCCATGTTGACACTTAAACCCGGCGCACGTCCCCAGTCACGTTAGCCACCACCTCTCCCCAAAACGGAACTCCAGTGCCAAAACTCAGAGCTCTTCATTAGACTCCATTATGTTTGTGAACCATACCATTTCCACAGCCTGCAGTGGCGGCTGCTGCTTCCTTAGCCACATGGTCTTGTACTGATCCAGTTTTTGTCCCTTGTACTTCACAGAGGCCCAGCCACAGCCAGATTTCTTGGCTGGGTTGACGAGCTTTTTGCAGTGCGTGGCCCATGCGCTGGGAGAGTTGAAAATCTGGCTGGTTTCTTGCCATCGGATCTTCCCGTCAGGCAACAGGTCCCCCACAAACGTCTTCCCCTGTGAAGAAACAGGAAAGTATACAATCAATAGCCAACAAGTTATATAGACACAAAACAACTTTTCACCCACAGCATTATTCATATGACTTCTTTCGATGCCTGACAAAATAAAGAAAAAGGAAACATAGGTTCCCTAATTAAGCGCACTAACTGGTATAGAGCTGACTATAATTTTAGGCTTCCTCCCTTTGAGGATCAGGTTGTTAGAACTGGCTGAACTACTCCATGAACCAGTACTCAGAAGAAGAAAAGTGCTACAAAGATCTGGTTACGGCATTTCTTCTGGAAATGGATGCAGGAAAAGCCCAGGATAAGTCTGTATACAAGAGGGTTTTGGTACAGGAGCAGAGATATCTTGTTGCTGCTGTACATGGCCCTGCGAGGTCACATCTGGAGTATTGTGCACTGTTTTGGTCTCCTTACCCAAGAAAAAAAATATACTTGCCATTGAGTGAGTGCAGCCAAGGTCCACCAGACTGATTCTGGGACAGCAGGCTTGTCACATGAAGAGAGATTTAGTCAATTAGGCCTGCAATCATTGCAGTTTGGAAGAATGAAAGGTGATCTCTTAAAATGTTTAAAATTCTGATAGGGCTGGCCAAACTGGATACAGAGATGATAGAAAAGTCACAGTCTGAGGATTCAGGATATACCATTTAGGATGGTGTTGAGCAGAATTCTTTTCACTCAGGATTGTGACATTGTGTAATTCTCTACCACGTTAGATGGTATTGGCCAGGTCACTGAACACAAAGAATGAAATACAAAGATTTCTAAGACATTATCGGCATCAAGGGATCTGGGGAAAGCCCAGGAGTATGGCATTGAGAAAGAGGATGATCCATGATCATGTTGAATGGTGGAGCAGCTAATGGGCCAAATGGCCTATTCCTGCCTCCTGTTTTGTATATTTGTGTGTGGTCAATTATGCTGTCTGCTGGCATCATTCTGTGCTTGGTTGTTCAGCCCTTGAAGCTCAGGCAACTTTGTCCCTTCTACACTTACCTTACTAATTCACCCTGTTTGAATTTCCTCAACCTGGGGCTTTGAAAGGGGTCGTTCCAAGGGCTGTTGCCTCGTTGGGGATGATGTCTTCGATCAGAAAACCAAAGAAAAATCCAAAGGCAGCAAGCAACTACGTAGTAAACACAAGCTGATGGAATGAAAGATTAGATGCGACTCCTAACCCTCCCAGATACAGCCCTAGGTGCAAAAAAAAAAAGCAGCCTCAGTCACAGCCATTCCAGGCTCAGATGTGAAAATGAAGTTGGTGTGAGGTAGCAGTGGCTGGGCAAAGGGTGTGACACTGTATCCTGAGAGCCCATGAGTTTCACAATAGGCAATGAGCAAAGCTGAGCGGAGGGGCAAAGAGGTGGTTAGTTTATTTTCTTACTAAATAGTGAATGGTGAGCAGGCCTTCTCCTGGCTGGATGACTCGGTCTTTGAGAAGCACGCGCAGTGTAATCCCACGACGAGTGAGCAAAGTTCCCCGGGGACTGTGCATTTTCCCAGTAGTCCCATTCTCTGCCTCTTCCAGGTTCACATCCACGTCATCCTCCTCATCCTCAACTCCCTCCTCCACAGCGGGTGACGACGGGTCAGAAGCTAGGAACAAAGACACAGTCATGAAAATGGTTAGTGGTTTTAGTGTCAGTCGACAACTGCAACGTCCAGTGTGATACTTAGCCAATTATCCTCAGGAAGCCCTGGTCAGCCCAGAGGTAGCTGACTTTGGCTGTGCCAGCAAAGGGCCATTGAAATTAGCGTCAGTTCCATGGGGATAGGGATAGAGAAAACAAATATATCTAACAAACCCACTCCCAATCGCTTTCCATTTGGCCCCAAATGCAGTGTGAGGTTGAAGACTGTACTGGACTCAGGTGTATTGCTCCTTACCTGACAATACAATCATGTGAGGAATGATCACTTAAGAGAAGCAGCAGAGGGCAGCTAAAGCCTGGGAAAGAGCCATTACTCAACACAGATCACAGCCTCTGGGAGAGGCAGGGAAACAGAGGAAGGGGAAAAGAAGAATTCACCTTTCTGGTAAATACAAATGTCTGCAGTTCAGTGATAGCTGTGATGACAACATTACTGACTTAAAGGCCCAATTACTTTATTTTTATTATTCAGGACTAAATCTGATCTCCTAATTGGTGAGCAAGTTTTAACTTAAAACATTGAAATTGTTTAAAGAACTTGGAGCAAACTTTGAGTAGGATTCAATCAGTGCAGCTCAATTTATGATTTTTTGCCTTTAGATCCAAAAGCTGTGGGTAGTGAGGCCGACACCGTAGTTAGAATGTTAACAAAAGCTGTGGGTAGTGAGGCCGACACCGTAGTTAGAATGTTAACAAAAGCTGTGGGTAGTGAGGCCGACACCGTAGTTAGAATGTTAACAAAAGCTGTACTCCTGAAAACACTTTCAATAAGAGGTTAAATTGAGGCTGTGCGCCAAATACAGGCCATACGCACTGATCTACATTGCATCCTTGTCCAGCAACGCCTTGATTTCAAAGCTTTCCATCCTTGTGATCGAATCCCTTCATGGCCTCACACTTTCTCCCCATTAGCCTCCTCCAGCCTTACAATTCCCAACTTTTCATCCATCCAAGATTTAGTGATCCTCCAATTCCAGACTCTTACATATCCCTCATCTTCAGTGCCATACATTGGCAGCAAGGTTTTCTGTTACTTTAGCCCCAAAGCTCTAGAATCTCCTACCTAAGCATCTCTGTCTTGTTCTCTTCCGCCACCATCAGCCATAATTCAGTGGGATGTACTCTTGCTTCTAGGTCAGGATCAAGCTCCAATTCAAAGATTTAAGTATTAAATCCAGATTGCACTTCAGTTCAATACTGAGAGAATGCTGCACTGTCAGAAATGCCATCTTTCTAAAGAGACTTTAAAGTCTTATCTCACCTCCCAGTTGGATGTGAAAATTGCCGTGTTACCTTTTCAAAGAACAGCAGGGGAGTTGTCCTGGTCTCCCGAGCAATATTTATCCCTTAAGCAGCACCACAATCATTACCACAACATTGCCATGGGATCTTGCTGTGTGCAAATTGGCTGCCAGGTTTCCTATGCTGCAGTAGTAAATACACTTGAGAAGTGCTTTGGTCATGTAAATGGTTGTGAAAGCTTTTTTTCTTTCAAAATCCAAATTCTCTCTTTCCCTTTGAAATATGTAAATGCAAGTCATTCACAGTCTGCTACTTGTAGATTTTGACATTTTCTCTGGACTTTCACTTCAGTCCAGGGGGGTTTGTACATTTAACAGCAAATAAAATGGAAAAGTGTCAATGGTGTAGAGATTAGTGGCACATCATAATATTCAAACTTCACACAGCAATCCAAAAAAATGCTGTAGCTGATCAGAGATTTTCACAGGATGTTGAAGAGGGATATGCAACTCAAGTGGTATTGTTAGTTAGAAAACTAATATTTCCTTCGAGGAATAGGAACAGAAGAACATTATTTAGACTGTGAAGTCTGTTTTGCCATTCAACAAAATCATGACTGATGTATAATCCATCTCCAAATAGCCTTTTCTCCCCTACTCTTAAGTAGTTTTGGCAAACAAAACTCCAATCTCAGATTAAAAATTATAAAATGAATAATTGAATTAGTATCAATTGCTGTTTACAGAGGAATGTAGAAATTGTTAGTAATTTCACTCCTGGAAAAGTGACAGGTAGTTCTGCTATAACGCATGTTTTATAAACACGAATCGGCTGTCAAGCGATTGATGAATAGTGGGTGCTGTTTGTATAATGCAAACTTTCTGCTTTACAAGCATAGCGATTTCCCAATAACGCGATTTTCTACAATGCAAGGTCACCTAAGAATGCAACTATCATGATACAGGAGAACTACCTGTATGGCTGTAATGTGTTGACTATAGTCTAGAACTAAGGATAATCAGTGGAAGTTGTTTCTCAACCCTGGCTTGCCCTTAATGGCTTGAAAATTTTGATCAAATCTTCCTTTAAGTCCTTTTAAATTCCATGTTACACAATCCTAGTTTGTATAATCTCACCTCATAATTTAACCCTTGCAGGTCAGGTACCATTCTGGTAAAACTATGACATCGCACATCTTCCAAGGTTGATATATCATCCCTATGATGTGGTGCCTGCCCACAACTGCTTCACAGTTCTCCAGCTGGGTTCTAACCTAAGCTTTGTATCGTTGAAGAACATCTTCCACTCTCTTATATTCTAGACCTCTAGGTCTAAAGGCCATTATTTCAGGAGGCCTTTTGACTTTTTTCTGTACCTACTCATGACATATTAGTGATCTATATATCTGGTCGCACAAATCCATTTGGACCCCATGGCATGAAGATTTTTCACCGTTTAGAAAGTACCCTATTCTAGCTCTTTACGTCCCAAATTGGAATATCTCACCTTTGTTTACATTTAAATTCATTTATCACTATGTGCTTGAATTGTGGTACTTCCAGCTACACTCCAGCCAATCTTTGAGCCATTGACAAATTTGAAATTGTGACTTTCAATCCCTTTATGCAAGTTATTAACACGGACAACGAATAGCTGAGGTACCAACACAGGTAGAACATAAGAACTAGGAGCGTGAGTAGGCAGTTCAGTCCTTTGAGCCTGTTCCGCCGTTTGATACGATCATGGCCAATCTCACCTCAGCCTCAACTCCTTTCTCCTGCTCACTCGCCATAACCTTCAACCCATTACTAATTAAAAATCTGTCATCTATCTCCTCAAATTTACTTAATGTCCCAGCATCCACTACTCTCTGAGTAGTGAATCCTTTGAGAGAAGTAATTTCTCCTCATCCGTTACTCCTTAGCCCAAAAAAACCGCCTCTTGTTCTAGATTGCCCCCACATTAGGGAACATCTTTTCTACATCTACTTTGTCAATCCCCTTTAAATCTTACGTACATCAGTTAGATCACCTCTGACTCTTCTAAACTCCAGACAGTATAGGCCTAAACTGCTCAAATTTCTCTTCACAAGTCAAACTGCTCATCCCTGGAATCAAATCCAGTGAACCTCCTCATTGGATTGCACCAGTTACATCCTGCCAGTAAGAAAACTAATCCAGTTTCCTTAGTTGTTATCCCCAGTTGCACAACCAATTTCTTAACCAAATCAATTATCAACTCATCAATTATTATAACACAATCAATTATCCTCCCTTTCAATCACTCCTAAGCAACTCAATGTTTACAATTAATGTTTTTCTAAAAATAAAACAGCCCAAAGAGGAGTGGAAGACTCTTTACCTTCATCTGGGAGTCCAGTGGTTTACAGTCAATCCTGCCATTGTCTCTAAGTGTCTTACATATCTCCTCATCCAAAGTATCATTCTCCGCCACTTCCATCACCTACAATCCGACCCCACAACCAACGATTTATTTCCCTCCCCACCCCTATCTGCCTTTCGTAGGGACTGCTCTCTCTGCGACTCCCTCCTCGGCTCCACACTCCCCACTAGCCCGACACCCCCAGCACCTTTCCCTGCAACTGCAGGAAGTGCTACACCTGCCCCTACACCTCCCCCCTCACCTCCATCCAAGGCACAAAACAAACTTTCCACGTTAGGCAGGGGTTCACCTGCACGTCCATCAATATGGTATACTGCATCCGCTGCTCCCGATATGGCCTCCTCTACATCAGTGAAACCAAGTGGAGGCTCAGAGACCGTTTTGTAGAGCATCTGCGCTCTGTTCATGACAAACAACAAACGACAACACCTTCTGGTCGCGAACCATTTTAACTCCCCCTCCCACTCCCTGGGTGACATGTCCATCTTGGGCCTCCTCCAGTGTCACAATGACGCAACCCACAAACTGGAGGAACGGCACCTAATATTCCGCCTTGGGAGCCTACAGCCCAATGGCCTAAACGTGAATTTACCAGTTTCAAAATCTCCCCACCCCCGGCCTCATTCTATGACCAACCCTCCCTCTCATCCCTGCCTCCTTAACCTGACACAACCTGTCCATCTTCTCTCCCACCTATCCATTTCTCCCGTCACTGCCTACCAACACACACTTATCACCATCCCACCTACCTTCCCCAGCCCCACCCCTCCTCTCCTCTCTATTTATTTCTGAGCTCCCTTCCCCCTCCCCGATTTCTGAAGGGTCCCAACCAGAAACGTCAACTTTCCTGCTCCTCTGATGCTGCCTGGCCTGCTGTGTTTCTCCAGCTCCACACTGTGTTATCTCTGACTCCAGCACCTGCAGTTCTTACTATCTCTGAATTGAGTTTGAGATAGTGAAAAGGTACTCCTAGCAGCCACAGGTCAACACAAAAGGCACTGTACTGACAATATCATCCTGAGAGGTCATGCCTTAAGACCTCAAGAACAAAAGTAGGCCATTCAGCCCATGGAATCTGCTCCGCTATTCAATTAAATCCTGACTGATCAGATAATCCTTAACTCCACATCTCTGTCTTTTTCCCTATTACCATGGAGATTGATTTTTAAATGGCAAGAGAATCAGTCTTGAAAATACTTAAATGACCCATCTCCAACAGCCCTCTATGGTTAAAAAACAAAAATCAGCAGATTCACCACTCAGAAGAAATTCTTTCCCATTTGTATTAAATGTGTCACCCCTTGTTCTCAGAGTATGCCCTCTGGTCCTAATCTCTCCCATAACGAGAAACAACCTGTCTACATGTACTTTGTCAAGTCCTCTAAAAAATCTTATGTGGTTCAACAGGACGCCTCTCTTTCTTATATATTCCAACAACTTCAAGTTCCAAACTACTAAACCTCTGATTCAGTCAAGTGGAGGAGAGAGGGTGCTGATAGGCTACGTTGTGGAAAATTCAGCTAGGCTCAAGATCATTGATTGGGAATAGGTGTTGAGAAAAGGCTTGCATATGCTGGTACCACAGATATTAGCACACAAGTCAACCTTTGAAGCCTCTAAATACATGGTTTTTATACGACGAGTATAAAAGTGAATCACCAGCAAGTATAAGGGGTCACTATTTTGAAATGTCATTGGCATCTCACCAAAAAAAGTGGGAATGTCTTCAATTCCCATATATACTTGCAACACACGGTCTTTTTCATCTGCTTGATCCCTTACACCTAGTAATCAGCTGCCAGTAAGTTGAAACTTTCATGAGGTGAAAAACTGAGGCTAACTATTCTTGGGAGTACAGCATGTTGTGGCTGAAACAGAAGTGAAGTGTCAATGTGTATGTAAAACATGATCTTTGAGACTGGAAAAAAATGCGTCATCTTATGCGCCAGGCTGACACTTCTGCCATGATTTACAGTAATATATTTGGGAAGGTAAAGCAAGGCAAGAGATTACCAAATAATAACAGGATACACTGAAGTGTAGGTAAGAAAATGACCTTGGAGTGCATGTCCACAGCGTACTAATAGTCGAGGTCAGGTTGATTAGATGGCTAAGACGACATACAGGAAACTTACCTACTTGGCTGAAGGGTTACTTGATGCTACAGAAATGGAATTTATGGAACATGTTATTGCTGATATCTTTGTTTTTTTGAAGAGATTTTTCATAGAATCATAGAATCCCTATAGTGCGGAAACAGGCCATATGGCCCATTGAGTCCACAGCAACCATCTGAAGAGCATCCCACCCAGCCCCTACCCTATCCCTGCAACCTTGCATTTCCCATTGCTAACCCACCTAACCTACACATCCCTGGACACTATGGGGAATTTAGCATGGCCAACCCACCTAACCTGTACATCTTTGGACTGTGGGAGGAAACCCACGCAGAAACAGGGAGAATGCACAAACTCCACACAGGTAATCACCCAAGGGTTAAATCAAACCCGGGTCCCTGGAGCTGTGAGGCAGCCCTGCGAACCACTGAGCCACCGAGAAGAGATTTTTAATCTAACCAGATTTGAAGACAATTATAAACCCCAAAGGTGTGTTAAAACCTGATTGATTATCATTTTTGTTTATTAAACAGGTAAATACAATGCAATAATAATAGATGAAGATGGCCCACTAGATCCTATTCTTCTGGATTATCATTCTCACCATTTCCTATTACAAGTTCATGCTATCAAACAGATATTACTGTTTAATGTCTGACTTGAATACTGGTGCCTGTGACTCCTTTATTACTACCCTATTTTATCTGATATCTGATATCTGATTCAGAGGCAAGATTCACTTCTTTTCTCCACTTCCTGAAGGCAGCGGCAAGGACTGGCTTACAGTTTCACAGCATCCTAAAGTTCCTTCTGCTCTTTGAAATGACTTAACCTTTGTGTGGGAGGTGAGCTCTTAGAGAGAACTGAAGCCAAGCTCACATACAAGTCTACCCGTTTCAAAATATGAGCAATTTACACGACCAAAACGAGGCATCTACTCTTATTTTAGAGCTCTTGGCTAATACAATAAGCTCTTACATGTTGAGCGTTCCACCCTTTCGAGCAGAGAATTCTAAACCCCAATACTCTGAAAAGATTTCACCACAACTCCCCTTTAATCCTCCTGCCAGTTACTTTTTAAGTGTACGCCTTCTGGTTATTGACCTCTCTCCTAAGAAAGTTATGACTTTCTTATCCACTCAATCGAGTCCCCTAATAATTTTATACAACTCAGTTAAATCTTCTCTCAGTCTCCCTCATCCCAAAGAAGATAACCTCAACCTAGACAATTGATTCTCAGAGATAATCTTCTTGCTCAGACAACATCATTCTAATCTTCTCTAGACTGCAATCACATCCTTCATGCATTGCAGTCACCAGAACTGTACGTGGTACTGTAGTTAAGGCTAGCCAGTCTTTCAGCTCTAGTTTCTTGCTCTAAATTTCATACCATGGCTAATTTCAGTCATGGCTCATTTGTTAGCACTCCTTCTAAAAAAAATACAGGTTAAGAGTTCAAGTTCCGCTCCCGATCATTAAAATCAAGGCAGACTACTAAGTGAGTGCTGCACAGTGGGGCGTGCAGTATTACTGAGGAGACATTAAATCAAGACCCCCAAGCCCCATCTGTCTGCTTTGTTAGATGTAAGCAATACTGTACCCAATATTGGGACAAAGAGCCAGGGAGTATCCCCAGCATTCTGGCCAATATTTATCCTTCAACCTACATAATTGAAAAGGTTACATAAAAGCCAAATATAGTGGATGCAGGAAATCTGAAATAAAAAGAAAAACTCTGGAGAAACTCAGCAGGTCTGGAACATTGGCGGAGAAAGGAACAGAGTTAATGACTTAAGTCTGATATAAAGACTCATATCGGGCTGTTTCTGTCTCCACAGATGCTGCCAGACCTTGTGCCATATTAACAATAAGAAGCAATTGTAATTCTTAAATCATACTTCATTCCCTCTGCCTGGTCTGTGTTCTCAATCGTCAGGAATTGTTGTCTTTTGAGATTTTGTTTTGCTTCCTGACCTACTACTGTTCCTATTTTCTTTGTTACTACAACCTGCTGAGTTTCTCCTGCACTTTCTCTTTTTACAGCAGGATTATATATTCATTACCATATTAGCCTACTGTGCAATAATTGGCTACAGTGCTTCCCATATTGCAAGAGACTACATTTCAAAAAAAACAGATTGGCTATAAAATGTTTTAGGTTGTGAAAGGGTCCATGTGATTGCACATCTTTTCTGATCCATACTGCAAATGATAAACTGTTTACGTTCTGCTGGTAGGGTAAATGCTATTGAGAATTTTAAACAACACTAAAAAAATGATTTTTGAGAAGTATTGTCATTTCAGCTTTTTAAGGCAGTTGATTTTTTTTAAAAAAACTGACTACTGGAATAAATTAACACAGATGGGGGAGGAGAACTTCCTGTGCAAATGTATTCCAAACGATTTCTCTAGAATTAGTTAACCTTGCAGCTGTGTTCTGAATTATTTGAATTTTGAAAAGCTTAAAAATAAAGCCACAGAATTGAAAAAAAGAAGAAAAATCCCTGGTCCTTTGACAGGAGGGAAGTTAAGCAAGGAGTTAGGATTCAAACCAAATCTGTTTCTCTGCCCCCACCCCACAAGAAGGGTTACAGGATGTATTGTGTACAATAATACGAAACCAGAACACAAACACCACACTGCAACCCAGCTTGATGCTCAAGGGAAACCCCGCCCACCGCAGCTAGCAAACACCCATTGGCCGTCTGGAACGGCGGCGAGCCGCAGCCGGGCCACCGATTGGCTGCGGCGGCTGTCCATCCGCGCACAGCAGCAGCAGCGGGTTCGGTTGCGCCCTGCGCCTTTCCCTTTGTAACAAACCGAGCGACACTTGGGTTCGTCTCTTTGGTTTCACTTTTAGATTGAGGGGTGAGGAAGGGGAAGGGCTGGAACAAAAATCTCCAAAGACAGCAAAGGTGCCGTCGATCAAAAACACAAACGCGGGCGGAGGGGGCGAAGCAGGTGTAAGAATTACAATCAATTCTAACCGTTAACGTGACAGAGGCAGGGAGACTTACCCATTCCTGTCAGAAGCTTCTTTTCCTGGTTTTTTTTTAAATTTTTGTTCTTGTTGCAGGTTGTCTCCTCTTCTTTAGTCCTTGCGCTTTGGTGAACTGAAGAGAAGGGGCAGTGTGTGAGGGTCTCTCCTTCCACAGAGAGCAGCTTTGTTGATGAGAGAGAGAGAGACCAGACACTGGGCGGAGAAACATCCAGCAATCTGCCGCTGCGTCACGTGATCACGGCCCACGTGCCTCATGCATCTCCCAAACACACTGCAGTCTCCGTCTCCGGCCGCACTCACCTCTCTGCTCCTATGATGCTGCTTGGCCTGCTGTGTTCATCCAGCCCTGCATCCTGTATGTCAGGCACCACATTACCAAACGCGGACAGCCAAGAACCGCAGGTGCTGGAGTCGCAGAACGTGGAGCTGGAGGAGCGCAGCGTCACGGTGCGGTGGGGGCGCAGGAAAGCTGACGTTTCGGGTCGGGGAACCCTTCTTCAGAAGTTTGAAGAAGGCTTAGGAATTTGTCCATGCAAACCAGCAACTCCCTGATTTTTCTGAGACTCTCCCAGTTGCTGTACGTACTGGCCCAGAAAATGGACTGACTGTACACCACAGTCTGTGAGTTGACGTTTCGGGTGGACTGGTGAAGAAGGATCCCAACTCGAAACAACAAGGTGT